ATCAATGAAACAAGAAAACTGTTTATTCAGTAACTTGTTTTCCTTGGAAATCGTTTCCTTTGCGTGTATTATGAATATTTTATTTATTTATCTTTGTTTTTCTTAAGTACAAATGATATTACCACATATAGATAAATCGATTTGGAATTTTTCATTTCATTATATGTTTGTTAATTTGGCATTTTGTCAATATTTTCTAATAATTGTTCGCTCTTTTTTTTTCTTTCTTTAGGAAGCTTCCCCAATACGAACTTTACATTTTCATCCATCTGGTAACTTTTTACTTGTTGGCACTCAGCATAAAACACGTAAGCCTTTTCGTACAAATTTTTTAAAAATTTAATGGTGACTTCTAAGTGTTACAGTAATTTTAATTCATAAATAACTCATCTAACATTTTCAATATTCAATTTACACATGTCTGGTTCTTCAGTGTGCTCACATAATCCTAATTGACATTTATCATTGATAAATTCTGTCACCCAACGGCCTAAATCATATTTGATTCGATTGTTAAATCATAGTTTATTACTCAAACAAATCTGTGCTCCCAAATGCCCGGGTACGGCCGAGAGTGGGGAGAGTCCGCTCTTCCTCTCGAAATAGCTCTCACATGACCACGCGTGTATAGCCTCTGCCAGAGAAGTCCTACTCACTGCCTTCTCGTGGCGGGGCTGTTGTTTACGGAATTGAGAGGACGAAAAGCGAATGTCTGGCGCTTTAACCGGGTTTGTGGACATGGAGAGTCCACCTAGGGAAGTTGGGAAACCCTGGTTCCAAACCAATAGTGCACATGGGTTCCAGTATCCTGAAGGAACAAATGGGATATGAACCAATCGTTGGTCACCGGCTACCATGGGACTACATCTCCTTACGATACTCTACTGCCTTGTGGATCAGATCTTCAAGTCAAAGGCTCCGGGTGTGGCCCCCTAAAAAATCCACCTGCTTCGGTTTGAGCACCCGAGCAGCATCACAGCCTTCACACATATCAAATGAGATCTGTGTGACGCATATGTATTTGGTGCCTCCTTGTACCAATATCTATGTGTTAAAATAAATTAAAATAAACACATCTGTAAATATTTACCTCAGTAGTATGTTTTGAGTGCAACGATCCTTTAATGGGCAATCTACTGTATAAACCATCAATACATCTCATAATTCTTTTCATTTAAAGTGAAGGTGGTAGTCAAGATGAATTTACGAACTAAACAATCTTCTCAAACTGGTTGTAAGAGATATTTTTCCCTAAGAACGTAAAAATGGATTTATCAGAAGATAGTAGCAAAATCGACTGGTTAGTCATGTAAGCCAGTCGAACTTTTGATACTATTTGGGAAAAATTAAAAAGTTCCAAGCAGATTTTCTATTTATGTATTTTAGAGAAACTGGTTAGGAAATGTATCAAACATGATGTTAGTTATTACACATAATCGATTTCTCGTATCTCATCAGAATACGAAAAAAACCGTGAGGAGGGCTTTCTGATGTCCATTCTTTTTTTTTCAGCCACAGTATTTGCTCCTAGGATCTATATCAAAGCACTCAAACTGAAGGGTGTTTCTTTTTATTGTTCTGAATAATGCATGACTGCTATATTTCATCTTTTATAACTACATTTTCCCTATTATAGTTCGTTTATATGATGTACAAACCTGTCGTTGCTATGTATCAGCCGTTCCAGAAGACCAACATCTTAGTGCAGTTAATATGGTTCGGTGGTCACCGAATGGAACTGCTTTTGTTACTGCTGGAATGGATGGCAGCTTCAAGATTTGGGATGGAGTTTCATGTAGATGTGTTAACACATTTGAAGCTGCACATGATGGTGCACCTGTGTGTTCTGTAGTTTTTTCACGTAATGGAAAAGTATGTCAGAAAGTTTGAATATGCTTCCCTTTATATCTATATTTGAATATCATTTTGGGACAATATTACAGTTTATTTCGCAGAGATACCTTGTGCATAATGTAGTGAATAATATCATCAATACTCCTTAATTTGTTGAGTAATCGATCCATTAGTCACTAAATACGATTCTTATCAAATAGATTCCATCGACTATTTGTTGGTTTATGTGAACCAAATAGTCCAATCTATCTTATATTCCAATCTCAGTAAGTGAACCACTCGTAGCATTGGTGGGAAATGCCACATGTAAATATGGTACCATACATTTAATTTAGTGTAATTCGAAAATACTCATCAGAAGTGTCAGTATGTGCAATTCTTTTGCTTGAACAATTGGGTTTTTGTAAATGTTTGGAATTTTTACAAAGTGATCAACACTTCATTCAAATTAATAATGAATGAGAATTGGTAATCAATCATACACCTAAGAGAAATGCATTTATTTACTTTAGAGCCTAGAACCCTTATCATTAATTCGTTTTCTGTGTCATTCAAAATGTTGAATCGTTATTTAAAGTTTCGCATTTCTTTCAAGTACTTACGCATCCTAGTATTACTTCTATGTCGAGTATAAGGTTACGAGTTCGTTTGAGTTATCCATACTTTTAACAACACGCTAATAAAAACGGTAGTTACGATTTTTAGGTATTTCTCTTAGGGCAAAGTGTACATCAGCGTTTTCAACTTTTAAAAAAAAAGTTTACTGAACAGGTAAAAAATCGAGTTTTCCAAAAGCTTTAAAATGTGCTTAACTACTGACTATCCCTATAATACACAGTACATTTTATCAATCTTAGGACATGTAGGCAGGTGTAGACTACCTAGTTGATGTCCGTGTGATTATTACAACCAAATGGTTAGAGACTTTCAATATCATAGCACAAAGTCGTTCGTAACGGTGCAAATATACCCACTATTAGCCTTCCGTTAGATCCTAAGTTTCTTAATCCCTCATAAATTCTTTTTGTTTATTATTTCGCCAGTTTTTATTTTTACCAAATCGTATCCTCAATGCTTGAGCTTTCCCATCACCACCAATACTGTTACTATCTCTATTACTCTGAGATTTTCCCTGACGACTTCATCTCTGTGCTAATGTGTTGTGTCAACGTGAAGCAATGTATATATGTGCCAGGTTCTGCGTTGCATTTGACTTACTCAATCCTAGATAAAATTCCCGCAAACGGATTTTATGAGATTCTTTATATAGCACAAATAAGTATTTTGATGTTGTAACCCAAGATAGTATGTTGCTTGTAGTGGTGACACAAAACACTGAATCAACCTAGCTACACTGCTGAATTAAGGCTGACTGTCAGAAAACTTATCAAAATTCATCGTTAGTTTTATATTGTAGTCTACCCTACACTGACCGGTTCTATCTCAGTTTTAGAGACTTTCCAAGTTGAAAACAATACTCATTTTTCATTTGTAATAAAAAATTTACAGTGTGCACATTTCCATTTTTAGTATATCCTTAGTTCCGGTAAAGACAGTGCAGTTAAACTATGGGAATTAGCCACTGGACGATGTCTTATAACCTACACTGGAGCAGGTACAGTAGGACATCAAACACACAGATCAATGGCTGTCTTTAATCACACAGAAGATTATGGTAGGTTGACCGATTAATACACGTTGTAGTTCTCATATTTGGCTTTCATTTGTTTTTGATATTATTTAACTTTCTACGCTTTTGATGTTATTAATCCTCTTTTTTTCTGCGCTGATGTGCCAGCTTGAACCGAGACACTTGTGCCATATCCTACGTTAACTACAACTGACCGTTGCATTGTTACGATGGAAAATACCAGTGGATAACACATAAGTTTATATTATACTCATCCCGAATACCAAAGATAAGTCATGAGAGAACTTAGATACCATAAAACTAGTGGTGAAGTAGAGATACTTCATCTGCATGTAAAAGAGTTGAGGTTTACACGACAACAATTACTACCGTGACTTTCGTAATATGTTAGTGCTATGTAACTAACACATTCCTACTAGTTAATTCCCGTTGCAAAATATTACATCTACTGTGTTTTCCGACCTACTTGTTAGAAGTTATCAAGGGATTAAAATCATGGACTTTAATTAATCGTCCGAGAGACATTTCCCGACCGACGTGTACTTCAATAATATTCTACTCCTAGTAGTGGTATTCAATGCGTAAGAGTGATAATATTTACAAAGCGATTTCATTATATGTACGAAATGCTTCGAAAACATCAAGTGTCTTGAATGTCTTCCGCTTTTAATAACCATGTTTGATATTTGCAGGTAAATTTAAAAAGAAATCAGTTGGAACTTTGTAGGAGAAATAGGTCATTTGAAATGATTTCATCAATGCCTACTTGTAGCCGTACTTAGAAAAGTCGTATTTTTTAATGTGACTATTATCGCACTTATTTTAGCATTAATTCAAGCATACAATTATATTTATTGTTTTTCTCTGTATAGTACTATTCCCAGACGAAGCAACAAAAAGCCTGTGTTGTTGGGATTCACGTAATGCTGACAGACAGCGTTTATTAGCCCTTAGTAAGTTTATACACAGTGACAATACAGTTTTTTTTATTAAAATTTAGAAAATCTACCAAGTTATAAGTAACGTAAAAGTTTATTCATTATGAATGAATCATTGCGTGAACTGTTTATCAGTTTACAATCAATTTGCTTTTGCAGCTTAAGATTTATTTTAAAGCGATGGGAAAATCATTTTAACCTCCTTTCACTATTGTATATCAAACAGACTACAGTGATACACAGTAATTTATTTACATAAAACCTAGTTCATTCACGCTATTATATTTATCATTAACTACCTTGTACTATATTGGTTGAATGCTTTTACCTAATTTTTTTCTCTGTACTAGATCATAACGGGCCAATCCGATGTTTTGTACATTCACCAACAACAGCGGCATTTATGTCCTGTAGTGATGATAATCGTGCAAGATTTTGGTATAAACGTCCTATATCAGACTGAAATTATTGTAACCATAACATTGGACAGACTGCTTTATTTTGTACAAACCAAACTGTTTTATTATTAATTGTTTAAAAAGAGAAATAAAGCATTGTTAATTGTTAAACTAACATTTTATTCAAATTAAGTAGACATTCTTTTACATGACTGAAAATGACTGATGAAGAAATAAATAAAACTAAACAATCGAATTTGTGTTTGATCACCTACTTTAAACTAACAATCAAATAATATTAATAATTTGTATGTCTTCAATGTTAACCAGCTTGTCGGGTGATTTTTCTTGCTGACTCAACATTTAAAGGTAAATTGTATTTTTTCCATACCATACATAAAGAATCTACTAGTTCTTCAGTTAGTTTATCTGTATGATGCGGTGTGGGTGCAATACGCAAACGTTCATCTCCTATGTCTACAGTTGGGTAATTTATCGATTGCACATATATATTATGTTCGGATAACAGTTCTTCTGATATTTTCGTACATAGTTTCGCTTCACCAACCTATTAATACAGATAAATTATAAAACACTTATAATAGTGTAAAAATCAAATAATTAAAACTGTATACATATTTCTATAAATGAAAATGTGAAACACTAACAGATCATTATTAAATTTGTATTCATTTAGATCAATCATCGACTGATGGGTCAGAAAGTTCTTTTATTCCTAGAACAAATTTAATGACACAAAAGCGTGTATTTCTTGTATTTCTTCCAGTACTGCAGATTAACTGATGGTTAAAACTACTTTGAATTGAAGCTATTACCTATTGGATAAATTCAAATGCCTAAACCAATGAGTTGAAACTTACTAGTTTAAATTCCTATTCGAATCGGTAAGTAAATTAGTTAATTAGCATAGGCTGTTGCAAATGGATTCGACTAATTGTTATGTAATTACCTACTTGCACTTAATAGATTAGTTCTCACACACTCGGGCTTTGTTAGTCAGATCAAAGTATTAATGAAACATAAAAATTATCGAATTAGAAAAATATAAACTTACATGTAGCGGAATAATATGTGACGGCGCTTCAATCACAGGTAATCCTGCTTGACGGAGACTTTGGCGTACGATAGATACTCGTTTTTGGTGTTCTGCACGAAGTTCTTTTCCTTCAGAAGATTTCAAAATTTGAATACTTGTTTGGGCAGCAGCCAAGGAATGTGGTGGTAGTGAAGTAGTAAATATAAATCCAGAAGCATAAGATCGGATCATATCAACTAGTTCAGAACTTCCTGCTAAATAGCCTCCGATACTAGCAAAAGCCTGCGAATACGAAAATAGACAATAAAATTAGCGATAATCATGAAATTGCACATAACATTGATCAGAAAAGTAATATTTGGTTTGGAAACATTTTATGATGAACGTATTATTATGTAAAATGATAAGATTTAGCGAGCGATAGCATCATAACCGGTTAACCTTTTGATTTATTGTCATGTATTTTTGCTGTCAATGATGGTCACGTGAATTAAACATGAAACGAAAAGATGGTCATTTCGTACGTGAACAAACTACAATACAAGTAGTAAATGATAAAAAATTAGTTTGTAAACTATCAAACTAGTTACCAATGACGTAAGACTTTTCATGATTTACGCAGTGTTACTATACAATTAACATGAATCTCAATCCATGAATAGTACGTACATGCACCTCATACATACTATCAGATGACGTGCACTGGGAAATTTGATCTACCACCTTTTTCTAAAATCTCTCAGTGCAAGTTTAATGCTTTAGTATAAATTTAACAAGATTGTTTAAACTACAGGTATGTGAAAAGTACAAATAACTGTTTAATATAATTAGCAAACCTTTCCAAGTGTACCCGTAATTGCATCTATCCTATGCATCTGACCATCACGTTCAGCAACTCCAGCTCCATGTGCACCGTATAAACCAACAGCGTGAACTTCGTCAACAAATGAGAGTGCTTTATTAGCTTCAGCAACATCTAATAAATTCTTCAATGGGCAAACATCACCTATGATTATAAAAATAAATAGCTTTTAAATATAACAGTTTGTAGGTGAATGAAAATTCGCTCGATAAATGTTAAATAACAATGAAATCAATGATAATAATATTTAATTGAAACGGTAAGAGATCGTGTGGTATAAGAAAGGATAGATAGGTTCTAAAACAAAATATGGCTCAAACGAAATATACACTACTTCTACATGAATCAGTTTTCAGACAGTATTTAGTATAGATTTTAGTTGAGTGATTATTAGTAAATGAGATTTAGCCACTACGTTGTGCTCCAGTCACGATATTGACCACAAACTGCTTATCGTACAAAGAGATGGATAATAATAACTACAGAATGTGACCAATCCATCCATACTAAGATAGGGAGGTCCACTGAGAAGAATAACTACTATCGTAAATAACTGCGTTGTAAGTCTTACTGAAATGTATTATCAGTGAAGCTGTTATAAATGACCAGCACTCTCTTCTGGAAATTTTAATGAGCGATAGTTATTGTTTCTTGAAGTCAAGACCAAAACTGAAATTTACCAGCGAGGCTATAATTCTGCTGGTAGCATCAGATATTCGGTTAAAACTGAAGCAACTTAAGCAGTTTGCAGGAATGCCAGATACCATTACTTGCAAGTACACTAAGAAGTGAGTTATTTAAAAATTCGTACATACTATCTGGGATGACACTCCAGGAGACAATGCTTTACAACACTCAAAGCCGGATGTTCGCTGTGAATGTTAAAAACGCGAAGTATTAGACAAGAAAGGCATTGGGTTAATATTATAGTGAATCTTGATTGACCGAGTTAAATGCATTATGCACATTTCCATCTATCAATTATCTCAACAGGATATAACTGTAGGACTAGTGTGAATAAAATTTAAATGTGTTTGGCTAAAAATAAAATGAATCCCTGAAATGTTTATTAGTAGTGTGAGACGCATGAGAAGACTGAGAATTTATTAGTTTGACTCCATGACTCGCTTTTAGCCAGATTAGGAACTTTACATGTTTTACCTTAAAACCCACCAGTACCACATCACTATTCTTTAACTTACTATGAGTGACAGACACCTATTTATCTAAGAATATTAATTTACGTGTCAAATGTTTTTCATCTTCCTACTTTATTCTTATTGACCTTATTAAAATAATTTTCCTATTTCAATTTAGAAAATGGTAAGCTTGTTGGTCAAAGGCTTAAACTTTCAAGCAGCAGGCTATATATCGAAACCCTGCGCGGCATCTACATTGGTTTGAGAAGCCTGGTAGTAATACCATTGATCCTCTTGGTATAAACAGTTCATCTCAAACTGAGTACGCGACGTTGTACCTGATAAATAAGTTACGTCAAGCGTGTGACGTATGGAAGCTTGGAAATGATATACTACTTTACGAAATATTTTTCTTTTGTGTCCGATATTCATCACGTCTATTACTGAAACATTATTAGACTATTTACAAGAATATGAGTCGACTAAAATGTAGCCATTTTTGATAATCTTATGTGTAGTCTACTATTACAGAATAATCAGAGTGTAAAAAAATATTTATTAATTGCCAAAGTTTCTTCAGTGAATATTTTGTAACCAGTCTATATTGAACAGTAATTATTAAAGTCTTCAGGATACATGTGTTTAACGATTAAAAGACCATATTACACAAAGTAAACTCCTTATTTAAGATATTTTAAATAGTGAATACATGATAAGTAGAATATATTGTTTTAAATTTATTCTAAAGTTATTCTTTTTTTGCTGATTTTAAAACGATAAGTCAAAAAGATTAGTACATTATTATGATTTAAACCTATGAACGGAAAACTAACAGAAGTGACAATTATAAAAACGTTTTCAATGTTAAATATATAAGAAATCAACATAGTTAGTTACCTGACATTGAATGGACTGTTTCAAAAGCAATTAGTTTCGGCGAATTCTTAGGTATATTTGCAAGTAACGAAGTTAAGTGTTTCACATCATTATGTCTATAGATAATTTTTGGACAACGACTAGTTCGAATCCCATGTATCATTGATGCATGATTACCAGCATCAGAGATTATTGTTAATTCCGGTATACGAGTTCCTAAAGTATGTAATACAGCTTCATTAGCTACGTAACAACTTGTAAATACTAAAGCTGCAGGTTTTCCATGAAGATCTGACAATTCAGCTTCTAATGATTCATGTAACAATGAGTTACCAGATATATTACGTGTTCCACCTGAACCAACACCATGTTTACGTATGGTAGAACTAAAATATGTTTTATAGGAAAATTCATTGTTATATGGGTGATTAAATCAAGAAAACAATTATGAAATTGCTCCATTCATATGAACATGACTAATCCTTGTTATTCATTCATTTTGTTGTTTCACTGATATTATTCAGTATGTGTGTGCACTAATTGTATTATCTGTATAGGGTTGTGGAAATTGTTGAGTTTTAATTGAGATCATGAACCGATCAATGTTAAACCACCATCGAAAACCTGAAGAGACTAGAAGACCGTTTCGTCCTAGTATGGGATGCCTTAGCAGCACGATCCCTAACAAGGGATTCGAATCCAGGGCTTTCCATCTCGCGCGCGGACGCTTGAACTCCAGATAACTGAGCCGGCATCCAACAATGTTAATGTCTAATTCCAACTAATCCAAAATATTGCACGACCATTTTTTATTGTCTTCGGTAACTGTCTTACACCAATACAGATTAGTCCTACTGGTTAAGGCTTCTTACTAGAACTCTGAGAATTACCTCTCGAAGCTAGTGACTAGTGAGCACATGATAATCATCAGTATAAGGTTGCGTTCTACCGCCAAACCGAAAGTCCTGGGTTCGGATCCCGCGTGAGGGGTTGTGGATACGCCCTGATGAGGAGTCCCATACTAGGAATAGACGCTCGTCCAGTGCTTCCAGGTTTTCAATGGTGGCCTAACATTGGTCACTTCATGATCTTAATTTTGTTAACTTACATTTTAGAAACAAAATTGTATTTATTGACTATGTTTATATAGATACCTGTGTTTGACCATATCCCTGTTAAGACCGTGTGCGACAGTACAAGGATTTATTCAAGAAATCCATCTGTAGTTTATTACTTCCTCCATACCTAAATACGTGAGTAATATAAAATCCTATAAGATAAATTACACCCATTATTCTTAAAAAAAACATAATTCTAATATATGTAGTGTTTTAACTTAGATTGATCTATTGTATTTTTCTACTAACTATAAGGGAGAAATGCAATAAATGTATAGATAAACGGAAAGTCTAGGTAATAGGGTACTTAGTAAAAGACCAATTGGAATGATGTACCACGATAAAAGTATTGTAGAAGACTCAATCAGGCGGATCAGACAATGAAACTGTGTAAATAAGTGAAGTGAATGTTGGTTGTTCATATGATTTTAGTAAGTAAATGTCACGAGTGGGGAATACAAAATCAGATTTACCTTAAACAGTAGTTGTGCTCAGTATAATAATACGACCGAAAATAAATCATATCATTTATAAGCGCAGTCGCATAGGTCATTGGGGAGATCGGTTATACTTTATATCGTTATAACTAGAACATTCTGTCGAATTCTATTTCACTCATGGGAACCATGAGAATAGAATACCCGGGACGAATTTAGCATCGTTCATGAGCTTCAAACAAAATTCTTCATAATTCTGATATATTATAATGCAATTCCACATATCAGGTAATCCATCTTATTAATTTGTATAGCAAGCAGTTTTTATAAAAGAGATTAATATAGTGATATATAACTTATCCCATTACACATGTCAGTCAGTAGCAACGTAGAACTTCGTACGTACGTACATCAGTTCGAGTTGCCACACCACCTTAGCACAGAGATGCAGTGGTCGATTCAAATCCCGTAGTGGTAGAGGTAATGAGAGTATAAGCAGTAATCGGGAAGATTAGTGTTTGGAGATGTTACTTAAAGAGTATAATCCAGTGAAATAAATTTGGGAAGAGAAAAGAAGAGACAAGGAGGAATAAGGAGATCAAAATTTGGGAGAACACAAAGAGTGTATGCACCTGCGTCATTGCAAACGATTTTGAGCCACATGTTAAATTAATTTAATTGAACTATTAGTTTCATCAATTATTCTATAAGTATTTAATTTGTCATTACTACACTTACAAGCAATAACATACTCTTGTTAAATAGAATTTTACAATTACTCATTGAATACTAAAATTATTTGATTTGCAGAACTGTTGTGCTTTAATTGAATGAAACTACCCTTACAATTTAGTTGATTTCTGAAATTTCATCTACCAGGTCATCTTATTTGGTTCATGATAGTGTAGGGGTTGAGAAATAAACACCAAATTAAACAAAAAAGAGACTTTCGATTTCATTAATAACGGTAAAAATTTTACGCCACACCACCATTTCTCTTGAACAGTTTGATCTAACATTAATTTATTAATATACTTCGTCGTGTTTGTGCTAAGTGATAACTTTTTTGTACATGATGATATACGTAATTCAGAAATGAAAGGTCAGAGTATACAGGTGGAAACACGTGAAAAACAAGAATTGATGGAAAAAAATCATAACACTATGGATATTACATCAAAATATTAATTTTAATTGGATTTTCAATGGGCTTTGATTCACGCTTTACCTTATTATCCTTGTTATTCACGTCTCCACTTGTATAGCCTGACCTTTTATTTTTGAGATAAAAGTATCTTCATGAATTGTGAGATTATATTGGTCAGAATGCATATTATAGCACATATTATATAATACATATTTCTAATATACTTAATTGTGACACTACACTGTTTGAACATAATATAGTTGTCATCAAAATGAAGTTGGATTTTCTTTTACAAATAATCCAACGTTAATCTGTGTTTAATATGAAAGGAAAAAGTATGTGTTCAACTAAGACTGAGTACCAATTACTATGTAGTAGCAGAATTTTGGAGATTTACTGACTACTACTACTACTGCTAATGATAATAATAATCACATTTATACCACAAAGTCTTTAAATGAACAGGTACTATCGTAGTGAACGAGAAGACAAGTGGGCACAATCGAATGTATTTGAACACAAAATTACAGAAAATTTCAGTCAAATCTGAGAACTATACAGTGAATACTTCATTTGCAAAATGTCAATCAATTGTCTCAGACTTCACTGTACTTTCGTTTCCACACCAATCGTTATTTGTTCTCGTTCTCTTTCTTCGATCCTCTTAACCTTCTGTCTCCAGACATTGCACTTTCGATTGACGATACATACTACTTATATCTGTTGACATCAGTAGCACACACCACACTATGAAATAGAATAACTAGTTTACAAAACTTACGATTACAGAAATAACACAGTTGGTTATCTGTGAAAGGAAACTATAAAATATTTGGGAGATGAACAATTATAAGATAAAGGTCTTTTGTAAGTCACCACCCAAACATTATAGCCTCTAAGTAACATACCTAACATCTGTTCGCCATATTGGTGTCAGCATTGATAAGGTTATGTCAATGTGATTTGTCCACTAAAGGTTCATAACAATCACAACTAACTGAAGGGAATTAAAAAAGCAACACTTACATGGCAGCTTCTTGAACTTTAGGATGCCAACTCATTCCCAAATAATCGTTGGAACACCAGACAGCTACACGACGTTTCATACCACTAGAATAATCATCTGCAAACGGAAATTCAGATGCATCTCTTAAAATTCTTCTAAATACTCGATAAGTAGAATCTCTTTTTTTTCTTTCTACTTCAGACACGAAAAACTTATTATAATTGAAACCTAGGCAGCTATCACCATCATTACGCACCGAATCGATTGTTTGAGAATGTTCTGGATCAGCGTTCTTTATCGTTATGTCTGTTGTTGGCTGAAGACTTTTTCTCGCAACTATACTCTTTTGCCAACCAGCGAATAAGGCGCACGTGTTTGGAATACATATGTCTACAAAAAGAATAGATAAAAAATATAATCAAAAAAGAACGCTTTTAGATACTAACATTGTAATGAATAGTTTTTTTCACAAATTAGTACGAACAAAACACTGAATCAGTGGTCTAAAGGTTAGCTATTTGCTGTGAGATCTAAAGGTCTTAAGTTCAACCTCTGATTGGGCCGTGGATACCTACTGCTGAGGAATCCCATACTAGAACAAAACGGCCGTTCACTTCTTTATGCTCTTTTATAAGTTGTTTAACCAAGTTTACGATGTGATGTAAACTGTAAAATACAAAGCTTGTGTTCATCAAGAAATAACACATCGTACTATAGATAACACGCAGAACTACTAGGTTACTTTATTCACAATTCTGAAATAGTAATTCGTATATAGAAAAGTATGCACATCGAACTCTGCAAACAAGGTGAGCTCATGACAGAAATTAATGAGAATTTAACACGAAGTGTATTCGTTCTTTATGTGTTTTAATATAAAAACAATTCTTAAGTAATTGATATACTTTCTGCAATATATTTATATCTTCCAAATAATCATTCAACTTACCATCAGAAATCCCACATAACTGGTTTTGATACATCTCGTTTTCGTGATTATTAGAGGTTTGGGCGCACAGATAATCATTTGAACATGTTGACTCATATGAATTGACCGTAAAAGGACATTTTTTCAATAAGCACTCTGAGACATTCTCTAAAATACAGGATTAATTCGATAACAAACTAGATGGAAAAAATATTTATAGAAAGGGTAACATACAAAGCTGACAATCAATAACGATGACCAAATAAATGTGTTAATTTTGTTGACTGAATATTAAATGTCAGGTTCTGGAGCGAGGGTATAGTGATTAAAGAATTTGACTTCTTAACGAGTAGCAGGTTCGAATAATGTTCCATCTATTTCAGCTTAGCCAACCACAGTGTCACTATCCCTTCAACAATGTGTGGCTCATAGGCGGGTACGTAAACTTGTACTTAGTCATTGGGTTATATGGTCTCAAGACGCTGTTAATTTTTATATCAGTCATCAAATAACAATAATCACTTTCTGTTAACTGTATTAATACGGTTTATGGTTTTGCGGAAAAAAGTAAGCCCCTGCTAGTCCATTGGTCCAAATACAAAACTTTCAACAAAGAGTTCAAATACACCATTACAATTACATATATCTATGCAGCTGGTGAAAGTTGTCCCCAAATTACATGACGAATTCAATTCATAACTTAATAAACAAATATAGGCATGATTATCGGAATAAGTTTCATGCTATTTATGAATAACCCTGAGGTAATTTTCCCACTATTACTAAATGGGAATGCCCGGTTCAAAGTATGAAAGGGGTGGTTTAGCAGTAAAGACGTTCGACTTTCAGCCACTATATCTAAGGTTCAAACCCCGCTTCCCCTACTTCGTTTTTGGTAACCGGGTAGTAAAATTACTAACAATCACTTTAATTGTAGCTGAAATCCGATTACCTGATGAGTTGATTTACAGTTAAATGAAACTTAAGACAAGACAGAATTTGAGACAGAACTATCCATACCAAAAATAAGAATTTATCTCATAAACATTTCGTCAAAACTTAAACGAATAGTTCTTGAATAGTCGTGATTATACAGAAAATATATAAGACCCAATCACATCTGTATGAAATTTCAACGACTGGAATTAAATAACTCCAATGTTCCTCTCGATTGTCTGATTTGAACTTCTGGGAAATAATCGAAATTAACATTAATAAATGTAGGATCGTGAAGACAACTATCAAACTGTGTTCGAATGAACTTGGTTCATAAAGTAAATATGTTATTTATTGTGAAACGGGCTCAAATAGCGGTATTTGAAGATGTGTATTTATGTTATTCTTATTTGAATCCAGTAATCATGTATTCATAAGCTATGATAAATCTGTTCAATAAATGATTTCACGCTGAACTCCTGTTTGGACATTATATGTCGTAATGTAAATCCAATAATTACAGGTTTACATATCGAACTTGAGTCAAACAGTAAGAGATTTGGAAACAACACTAAGATGAGCAGAGATTCAAAGGTCGTGTGGGGTTCGAACCTCAGCCTAAAGGGTTATAAGTCAAACGAATTAACAACTATACCACCATCATATATAAGTCACTACAAACTGGAAGAAACTTAACGAATTCACGTAGTTCTAGATGAAATGGTTCCTATCTCCGAGTATTTTCACTTGATATACACGAGGGTTATAGTAACTTCAGATATTAATTTAAGACTAGAAGTTTTATACCAAATTGGTTGGAAACAATGCTGCCAGCCTTCTCGTTCGCTCCTTGTGAATATGAAAAACTATAGAAATATGCTTCCCAGTATTTATTCATTGAATGTTCTGTTGTGCGATTCGCATCACATTTCTGGGGGAATTTTACAAATTATATACATCAGCTTATTTTACTTCGTATACTTTAAGATAACGCTTTATTCCAAAACAATTAAATCTAAGTCTTTAAAGATAGCAAAAACGCATTTTAGTTCATGGAATACTTAGGCGAAGACATTTAAATATTTTGTCTTACAAATATTCCGTTTCATCTTTATTAAGACAGCTAGGTTAAAACTAGGACAATAAAACGAGTTTGGATAATATGCATAAAAATTCTGACCACAAACCTTACAACTACGTTAAAGTGAAGGATTGAATTGACTGTCACTGGATAAGACATGTATTTCTGTGGATTGTCCACAGTTTTCATTTGAGGAAAACCAGAAAATAGACCTGTCTGGCCACAAGAAGTAAAAATATAGAAATATAGGCGATATAAGAGATAAGGGCTTACTACAAACTGATGATTCATCTGACTGACGCTCCATAGCGACATCTGAATACATTCTAGGACTGGAAAGTGGAGTTCCATCAAACAAACGCCTAGCAAACGGACATCTTGGTATTAATTGGATCAACTGTTGAATATCTCTTTGAATCACAGTAGGAGACAATTTACGCAAAAACGGGCACGACGTCATTGTAAAACCTTAGACACAAACAAACAATAAGTCATAATGAAAAACAAACAAACCAGTTATTTATTACTAAGAAAAATATTTATCAGAATATTAGAAACTGATGCGTACACATTAGTATATTGCGAAAAAAAATCATTACATCAACTTAAGACATGACAACTTTTTTAGAGAAACGAAATTGATCCGGATGAATGACTGCATTCGACGCTTTTCGGTACGTATGAACGTTTTCAGAATTACCAATTAAACGAAGGACGAATGTAATTGTGGTAAACTTGTAATGTACTGTTAGAAGTTATGAAAAATCATCTAACCTATAATCACAAAATTACTTTTCCGTGTTTGGTAGTGATACTGATAGTTTTATTTTATGAAGATTCCCCAATGTGAACTGTAGTATGAATGATAACCATTTTATATGCTAAATTTAGGGAGGATAAGTGAGAAAATATATACTGTAGAAGAAAAATGAAAATAAGTACAACTATTTCAACTCAGTTAAGTCTGAATTTACTTCAGTAACACTGAACTGCCTGACTACACAGTAACGTTGCTTAATCTGTAATATATTAAAGATTCAACTTCAGCAGACACCATATGATGCATAAACAGGTAGTGATAATTAATCAGATGATGGTCCAACTTCAAACTAGTGACTTTCAAATCCAAACTATGCATTGGTTGAGGAATCTGGTAATGTTTAGTCCCAGGATCGTTACAGTAATAATAATGTAACTCAGTCTTCAAGTCTAAGTCTGTATACTTGATTTCCAACGACCCTTTTAGTCAGTCTAATGTTCCTACAGGCTGCCTAAAATCCAATAGGTAGAATTGAAATCGAACTCGCAACTCAGGTGTAGGAATTCAAATGCAATGGCCAAATCAGTACTTTATAATTAATGTGAAATATAGCACAATGTGCATCCATTTGACGAGTTTACGTTAAGATGTTATAAATTAGGTCACACTGACTGATAGTTTGAAGAACTAAGGCCGAAATTCGGAACATAATATAAAATTACCCTTACTATTTATGAAAACAAATCGGGAGTCTGGACCATATCATTAACACGATCTTGAGGATGTAAGACTCAATAACCATACTATATCACCATATTTCTTCAAATCTTGAAGACCGTATAATTGATAATCTGTTTGTACCTGATCTTGTTTTAGATATTTACGATTATTTGTGATATAATATCTACCTTTATATCGCCTTTATCTCAACCTATATATCAATGTAAAATGTTACGACTGTGACAAACCACATTATCTGCCTATCAGTATAATAAAAAGGAACTATAAGAAATTATATCAATCACGTATAAAATATTCGGAAGTACCTGCTTCATAAGTTAACGTATACAAATTAGATCCTAACCACCTAGACGGATGTATTATGACAGGAATATGTGCATAAAGTCCTACATCTTACTAACAGAATGTGGCACAAGCCGTGTAACGCTTAGTCATATATTCGGTTATGTTATGGTCCTGGAAGAGGACATTACAATAGGCTTTGCAGTAATCACTCTTCCCAAACGGTTTAGAAGAGAAGGTTAAACGAACGCTTTTTGGCTATCCAGTCAACAACAAAAACTGTTTAGACAAGCACTAACTATTTAGAGTTTTAATACATCACACCACCAGGTATAAACTAGTGCTGGATCTTGGTAAAAATCGTGTCCCAGCCCATTGAAATACTCTTTGTGCAAGATTTTCAATCCTTCGCAATCTGGTACAGAAAACGGACCTTTAGAATTAAACAACCAAACCCTAGCATTTGCAATATCCAAGTAATTTGCGCGATCGTCAGTAATTCCATTCCCTACATTTATTAGCTTATGTATTGTATTATATATATTTATTTACTGTCCGAAAAAATATGGACTACTTAGTAGTTGGAATTCTTGAATCCTAAAAGTTGCTAACCAAATGTGCGGGTTATTTACTACGATAACCTATATTAGTCCAGTCCTCCCTACAAGCTTAAACTGTGGAATTCTCAACTGAGTCGTTTCCAACTATCTTGTAATTATTCATATAAATTTGACCACGAAAGTAAAATACTACGACTTCAAAACTCTTGAAAGCTACTTACTATTGAGAGAAATATGTAAAACCAATAAACACTAGCGCTTCACACGTCTACAGTAACGTCCAAAGTCGTTAAGCCTTCAAGTGCTACGCACAAATGTCATTGGTTGATTTTACAAGCTCCTAATTCAGATTCTATTGAATGTTTCAATGCCCCTTGTGCTTGATAAGTTATCCACATGCACTCTATCAAAAGCCAGGACATTTAACTTCATGGATTGAATCATTATCCTGGAATCTGTGAGTACCATCTAAGGAGATCCCTTGACGGTCACACGTCCCACTAGGGGAAAGATCTCTAAGCATCAAAATCACCCGAAGCTACTTCGTGTAACAATCACTAACGCTACCGAAGTATTGGATATCCTATTAGCTAATCACTTATTGAAATCAGACGAGAATGTAAGAATACTGCCTTGCATATCGTATTCTGAGCGCGATCTCATCCGGAACACCGTAAAGTATCTCTCGAGTTTTTCCGCGGAAGAAATACCACTGTGCAAGGCGTGCTGGAAAAAACGGTCCCTGGTCACTCAAGCCCTGATATTAGGTTATGGAAATTCACCGAGCGATCCTTGAAGCTCAAAAACATACTGACTCATCAAGTGGTGAGTTGAGCCAAGAAGGACGGAGATTCTAGGCCCTGCTATTGAAGATAACTTTCCCATCCGTCCATATGGCGGCGGCTACTCTGGAAGCATTCTGTGGGCACAGAATGCAGTATGACTGGGATCCATACGCATCCGGATAGGCCACAGGACTCCAGGATCAAGCACAAAGTCGAGTGAGACTTGACCATTTCACTTGTGGACTGTCTTGATTATAAAAAACGTGTGACGGACAGACTGTCAACTCGAAAAACATTGCATAGGTAGCCTACCTGTCCATTCACGTAAGACTCATACAGACACACAGGACGGTGAAGCTCACTCGTTTCAAATTGAAATCACAAACTGCTTATACATAAACGCCGCTAGTTGACTGAATAGAATGGATTAGCTTCGTGAATTTAGCAATGCCAATAATGCTCATCTGATAGGAATATCCGTAACTTGGATATCTTCTCAGTTTACGGACTAGGGTCTAGCAATACACGGGATGTTTTCGTTTCGCAATGACAGAAAAACAAGAATTGAGAGCGGCGTAGCTTTTTACTTACGATATTGCCTAGAGGTTCATCAAGTGCACAACCAGGAGTTTATCAATCTTGATGAATCCGTATGGTGCTCAGTAGGATTGTCCACCACCTCAAGGTGTCTAGTTGAAGTCTCCTACAGGAAGCCTAATGCTGAAATCGAGTACAACAATAGCATGCTGGAAGAATGATCCCGCCCTACCCGTTTCGGATTCACTCATATCCTGATTCTAGAAGAAAAGATACTTCTTCTGGTCCGGATATGGCTCATTCTGCTATGCCACGAGAAGCAGCTGTAATCCTGACAACACCGCTTGGCGTGATGTTCTCACACTTACCGCATATTTGGAAGCCGGCTCACATCGCGCTAATTTTCAAAGTAGGTCGACGCAGCGAACATTCAAGCTACCGGCCGGTGGCTCTTCTTTCCATACCTTCAAAAATTATGGATTCCCTGATATGCGACTATTTATTATTCTTAAATCCCAACAGAATAGTTTCAGGGAGGGTTACTCTTGTATAGCCAACCTGCTTACTGTGGTGGACACATGAACAACCATCCTTGATCACAAGGGGAATGTTGATGTCATTTGCCTTGACTTCTCAAAAGCTTTTCATAGGGTTAACCATTAATGTCTTCTCAATAAGCTAAAACGATTGGGTATCAAATCACCTCCAATCGACCGGCTCGCTTCGTATTAAAAAAATCGACATTTCAAGGTCAAGGTTAACTTAACTTTCTCTCAGTCTATGGAATGTCTTGGTGGGGACCCCATGATTCCGTACTAGAGCCTCTTCTCTCGATTTATATAAACGATATTCCACAACAGGTATCGTTTGACTTATTACTTTTTGCTGATGATGTGAACTTTTGGAGAGAGATATGCAACCAAGAGGATATAATGGCACTTCAGGAGGGTCTGAATCGAATTCAAAATTGAGCAGGTGACAACGAGCCTACCTTTAACACTTCAAAGTGTAAAGTAGTCCAGCTGAGACATATTACAGGCTACAGTTATAGCTTAGGAAACAACCCACTAGAATTATTCGAAGTTGAAATGAATTTACGAGTGCTGGTACTCTACGATCTCAAGTCTTTAGCCAACTGGTACAAAAATGTCTTTCGAGCAAACCTGACTAGTTTTACGGCAGAACTTTCCACGTAATCTTCAATAGTTTTATTCGTCCCCATTTAGTGTACAGAAACATACTATTTCCTCCCTCACTCCAAAAAACAAAGACACACTGGAACGTATCCGAAGGCTAGTCACGAAATTGATTCGGGGACTTAAATTCAGAAATTACGAAGAGGGCCTCCAATAAATTAACCTTTACCCATTAGAGTATAGACGTCTTAGGGGTGACCTTTTATTGGCTTACAGCATTCTTAACACTGCTGTTCATCCTCTTAAACACCTACTTAAGTTTAGCTCCAACACAAACCTAAGGGGTAACACTCAGAAACTGGAAAAACAACATAAAAGAATGGACTTTAGACACAACTTCTTTTCTCTAAGAGTTGTCAAATGCTGGAATTCGCTGCTGACTGAACTAGTCCAAGCGACTTTTCAGGAGTACTTTAAGAGGAAACTTGAACTATTCCTAAGGACTAAGGATAATATCTTATTATGATTTACCAATATCTTTTTTTCCTCTATTTTCGTCAACATACCTAGGTTTCTGCCTGTAGGCATTAGTGATCCACTGTTACTAGACGTAGCAGCCTGTTAAGCCGAAGATTCTTCTATTCCGCTCACAACCATTTGAACCATTTGAAGGAATTTTGTGGGTGCTCTGAGGTGAAAATCATTTTGAGTATATATGCCTGTTGTGGATGCGGAGGAATAGACCAATAATTATCATGCTAAGTCCAATGGTGTCCTTGGACTTTAAATGGACATTTTCTATTGGTCGATATCTGTTCACTTGTGTATATTGTACAAAATGTTGTTTTCTATTTTTATGGTACGATGTGGTATGCTTGGTTAGTATATAAATAGAGTATGTTTGAAATATAATGATTCATATCTCAGAGGCTGTGACTTGTGTTCTGGACTCAACTGACTGGGCTAGACAGGGAAGCGAGACCAATCAGAACCCTAGGTCGTTCTACGTGTTTGTGCGTCTTTGGTCCGATCAATAATTCGCTACCTCTTAATCCGCAGCATTATTTTTCACAGTCATAACAATGCCCCTGTCTTTTATTATCGAAGTATTTGTCGAAACCGTAACATATCTTCAAAATAAATGTGTCTTTCGGCGACTAAATATACTACTCCTTCCGTGCTTTGTTGTAATTTGCCTCGTTTGTCTCTGAGATATCGTTATTTAGGTTTGCAGGTGCCATTGTAGTAGCAAATATATGCTTAAAATCAGCGTTTCTGTAGATTGTTAAAATTGACACTGACCTCAGTAATTTCTCCAGATGCACCTTAGCTGAATAAGCTCAGACAAGCATCCTCACCAGATCACCATTTTGTACGCTGTTCTACTCATCCCTAGCAACAAACAATCAGTTTAGATTGTAAGACCATTGAAATGTCACTGTGCCCCAGCCGAATCATCCGACAGTCGGTTCACTGAAGGTCTGACAGTTCATCGATCCTCGTCAAGGTTAACGGCAATCAACGCTCATCAGATAATTGTGCACCGCGAAAGTCCCCATGCAGCAGTGGTCGCATTCTGTTTTCTGTACCTTTTCCTACTAATATATTGCTTTAGTAACGTCGTTTGAGTTGTACGGTTATCAGAGCAGCCTTAGCACATGGATACGACGAAGGGGTAATCCATATTAGGCAATAACTGTGAGGTGTGACTGTGACCTTAGCTAGTTGATCATGCTCTTCCTGGCTAACCGGAGTCGAACCCTAGTTATTCGACACAGACCATCTGCATTAGTGATCCACTAGATCAAACACTGCACGACACGTTGAATACCTTTCAAATAAATTTTTTAACTCCTTCGCTCCTGACATTTGATTTTGGCTGGGTATGAGATCATTAGATTATAAAGAAGTTACGGAAGAAAGCGTTTTTAAACGCTAAATATTCGTGATATCTTTAGCGGTTATCTCGACGTGATATGCTACAGCAAACACAAAGCTGTCTGTTCCTTGTTGTAAAACTGTATAATTATATTTTTACGAATCGTGATATTATTTTGTTTCTCACAGTTTTTTAGCATGGTTATGCATTCTATTTTTTTGTGTCGGAACTCATACTCAAAATGTCCAAGACTAAAACTCGTGTCATTCTGGTCTAATGACATCAAAGCTTGGTGCTATTATATAGAAACATGGCCCTGAGTTTACAAGCGCGTATTGCATAAGATCCTCAAATGAACAACTTCAGTGAAGTTCAAAAATCATGCGTTCTGACTAAAACGTGATGAGCGCAATCTTCAAAGTGAAAAGAACTACTGAAAAATCAACTGTGCTCTCACAACACGATACGTAAACACCCATCAGTATCACCGTAGATAGAGGAGACTTAGTTTTCGAAGCAGTCTTACAACATTGGGTTAACACCACCTAGCAACCTTGGACATTCTTCTCGAGACAGTTGCAAGACAGCACTTTTAGAAAGCAAAATATTGTGCAGCAGGAAAAGTTTAAAAGTCCATTGAGAGCCGACAATCAACTACATACTCCGACTGAAAACCTTTCCCCTGTTCTCAAAGCACTTCTTCAGAAAATTACTTCACTCGAGAGTCTTGACAATAGGATCACATTACTTCAGGTATACAATATATTTCTTGGCGAAAAATTCAGTCACAGACACATCGTCTCTTATAACTTATTTGAACAGTTTCCTAGAGTTTAATCCTGTGAACTCGCCCACGTTCAAAAGGGAGATAGTGAACTTCATCACGAGTTACTCGATACAATCCTGAAACTACAAGTCAAGCTGAAGGGCATTGATCAGGAATCTTTACTATGTGACACATCTACAGGTAGGAATCGTCTAATCGTGCCTGAACATAATGGACGCAACGTCTTTAATACACTGCACGAACATGCTCGTTGAGGTGTATGAGAAACTATTAAAGTTATAGCAGAATATGAATAAACATATTAGCGTTTGGGTACGCTCCCATGTAAATTGACGGAAATTCACGGTGATTAGGCGCAACAAATATCCCTTAGCCTCTATCATATCTTCCAACTTTCGTTTCGATCATGTTCATCTTGATTTGGTAGGACCCAGATTCAAATAGATAATCTGCAAACGTATCATAATGGACTTTTGTTATTTGATATTCTCAATGCATTGAAGGCTGACGTTAGATACACTGCATCCGAGCTCGTTTCCAGTACGACATTTTGAATTCCAGAAGAATTCGTCAATCCTTCATCTTCAAATAGCGTGAACTAGAACTTGGACACGAACTGGGTCACCAACATTATATTTGTAGCGAGCCCATTCAACTATTGTATTATTTGTCTACTCACCGTAATTCAGACACCTAATTCACTATGTTAATTTCTGTGTGTGTATGATTGAGCGCGTGTCTGCACATCAACCTTAATCTATTCTCCTATTGATTGTAACATATAGATAATCAATAATTTATCCACACTTGATTACCACTCAAAAGTATATATGGATTTGTAACACACACACATTCTTGGTTTCACAGTGTGCTTGCTCACTGTACGCTTGTGGATTTTATTTGTCTTTAACAATTAAATATCTCTATAACTGGTGTTCAGGCTTCTGAACAATCTCGAGTAAATCCATAATTCTACTAGGGGATTTAGCCTACCTTAAATACTCAGTTATCGGGATATCATTTATTGGAGTCAGATATAGAGGAAATTAGCCCTCAACCTACTCTTAATCATGACTTTCCATTCCAACTACAATGAACCTATGTCTATTAACCCGGACTGATGGTTTGATACAAACATATTCGTGAACCATAAAACATTGCGCAAACACTTCGATGCAACCCAAGCAGGACTTTAGAGTTTTCCACTGTGAACACAAATACTAGATCATTGAGAAGAACGGGAAAGACAATCAAATCAATATTGGTCGGATACGATTCTTTCTCTTGCAAGGCAACCATTTGGCGTTCAACTTTCCCACTTCACGACCAGAAGTTACGGGCTCCTAGAATACAATAGATACAGGACAGTCAACAACTGCAAGAAAAAGCCAAACAATTTATTTTTAATATAATTATGTATATTTTGTGGGACATTATTGTTTGCGGATGATGTCAAAGACTGGAGAACTATAAGAAGTGAAGCTAATCATTTTGATCCCCAAACTGACTCAGACGGATTAGTTGGAGGACCACAATGTTGAGCCTAGAAATTAATTCTAGTGCGAGTGTAGTAATGCACATGGGACAAGGTAGTAGTTGCCAGTACACTAACAACGGCACATCACCTCCATATGTACAGAAACACAAAGGCTTGGGGGTAACATTAAGTCTTGACTTTTAAGCAGTGCGGCAGCCACCAAGGTATTTCGAGCGTTCTGGACATTTCGCCGAGCATTCACATGACTTGAAGAGTATATGTGTCGTATTTTATACCCCATCTATGTAAGACCACACCTAGAGTACTTTATCCAAGCACCCGAGGGATGTCTTATTGAGAATAATAACACACTCAAGCTTTTAAAATCGAAGTAAGTGATGGTTTTTACCAGACTCTCCTATGATGAGGGCTTAAAACTCCAGAACCCTTTCTCCATATTGTATTGTACAACGCGAAGTGACCTTATATTGGAATTCCGTATCTTTAATTGCGATGTGGATGTCAATACGTCCCTTTTTTGTGCTCTATTGGGCACTAATAATCCTCGAGGTCATAGCACAAAGTCTCAAAAACCACAATTTAATGAACTCAGAGTGACGTAACGGTTTTCTCATCAAGTGGTTAGTGACTGGAACACCTCACCCGAACAAGTGGCATCAGATAATCAGTAAATATTTCGGAAGAGAAGCTAGTTCTTCAATAAAAACTACTTGCAAGGATCAAAACAAGTCTACTAACCTATTAAATATATAATTGAGAACTGAAGACAGATTTTCAGAACTACTTAGTCGCCAATTTGAAGCTCAAGGTCATTGGTATGGATAACCTTGACAAGGTAGTGTTTCTATAAGTCTACTAATATCCGTAGTTGCTTACTTCTATTATTGCGAACGAAGAATTAGAGAGAAAGCTCTCAAAATCTGACGTAAGTGGTGTAACGAGGATAACCTGTCGTAGATTAATGAACAATTCATAACTTGTTTGGTGGATAAATGCAAATCATTGGATCCAAAATCGGTTTCTTTTCAAAATGACGTCAAATTCTCCGCTTTCATATCTGGTTTCGTTGGATGTTTGAAGGCGTGCTACGCCTACTTTTCAGATCACATAGCTGAGTTGGCTGACGGATATGGAGCATGTGAAGAGCTCGATCTTATGCCTAATAATGGAAATCCATCTAGTTTTATGAGCTCTTTGTTTGCTACACAATGCGTAATTCGTCACTGATTTTTTATGTACAGCATTTAGTGGTTTTTTGTGGTCATAAAACACAACTTCTCCAAAGCTGAATTACTGACGTCAAGTCTTCTTGGACTTGGTACGTTTATTCTTGTAATACTAACATCATTTCGTCTAGCTTGCAGAGAGCTTATGTGTCTTGCTCAGGTGGCCGACAATCTAGGCGAATCATTCAGTCTTCCTGTGTGGAAATTCAGTTCTAGGTAATGTGCACATTTCATATTATTCTCAGTATTATGAAACAGTTCAAATGTGAGATTCGCAACCATGCACGAGAAACCTCTAAAAATGAAAAAAGGTCGTTTGAAAATGATCCTGAAAGTTTTTTTGGAAGTATATTGAATTCTGTTGTCCACTCGTTGCGCTTTTACTATAATAAATGCAGTATTTCATACCTGGTAAGTTGCAAGTTGCTTCAACAAGACTATAATTTTTGAACGAACTAACCAGATATAAGATCAAAAATCTTGGGTTGTCACCCAAACATTTGGTTAAACAGCGTTTTGGCATTATAGCTGATGTCAGTTCATGATGATGTTCTCGGAGACCTGATTTCTTTAGTCACTCATCTCTCATCGTTCTAAGAAACCCTCTACCGAATAAGTCTATCTCTCTTAAGCTAATTTACTTTACTTAATGTGGCTGAATGATCACTAGGATAGGTTCAAATGAAATTATGCATATTCTAACTTGAAAACACCCCAAAATACAATAAATCATTTCAGATAGTAACTTCTGAAAATAAGAAACAGGAAGAGCAACTCAGTTTTGCAGCCCTGTAGACCTTTTTGTAGCGTCCACCACGTGGCGTCGTGATTGTTTAAGTACTCAGCTTTCAAACAGGTTTCAGGTTAGGAACTTGCTCAACCTAATGCAGTTTAATTAAGTGGAAAGTATCATACACAGTAGCTAAAACTTGGATGTATAAACATGTTAGTGACAAATGTAATGGAATTCCACCAAAAATTTTATCCAGACAAATTACCATTGGTTCTTTTCAGAGATAGAATAACATTTTGGTTACGGCACTGAATAGGTTTTTTATACGGCGAATTAAACATAAGGCAGTTATTTTACCCTCACTTAAAAAGGTCTGTGTACTTTATGAAGATGTCTCTGGGCAAAGTACTACCAGTTTTTCTCCAAAACATTGGTAAACGTCGTACTACATGGGTTGTATGAAGCGCTAAGAATACTGAATCATCAATTATTTGAGAATAACCTACCGACTTAAATCAATTTAGCCCAATGTTTTGCACGTTTGAGGTGTATATGTAGAAGTGTATATGATAATAGAAAACAAAGATCCAGTGTTTGAAGCATTAATAAATGTGATGAAGAAAACAAATATGTAACTTACTAATTTATTTATGCTAGCTAACTAAAGCAGTTTAATTTATTGTTATAAATTGTGCACATGGACTCAGTTATTGATTATTTTATGCTAAGTACTTCCTAGTTCAGTGTTTTCAGATTTGGTTGTTGATTTTATACAACTCATTGATTTTTTGGCATTGTTTTTGATCAGCTGTTGATCTACCGTAGGTTTATTGTTAGGGTGTAATAAATCTTCATCTGCAGTCCTTATATTCTCCATTGCGTTGAACTTTTTCGGTGTCTATTCACTTGTAACACTTTGTAAGTAGCAGTAGTTTCATAGCCACAACAAGTAGTCACATCAATTTTGCCGGCCTTTTCTTTTTCGTCTACATGAACACCAGTTGTTAGATGACAATATAGCTTCACTCATATCAATGTACGTGGACAACTGTCGATAAGAGTTTGATTAAGAAAACATCAAAATATTGGACAGAGGAAACAAAGAAAACCAGAGAATGTTCAGAACCTTGACACTTATCAAACATCAGTCAATAGACACGCTGAAATATACCACATTTATCGACCAATAGAAAAGTAGACTAATATCTGCAACTTCAAAATCCAGGTCAGCAAAGAAAACAACTATAACAGACATAAATCTATTATACAGTTATGGATAACAATCAGTCAAACATCAGATCAACAGAACAAGCTGCCAGTCAATTTTGGAGAAATTCAGATAGCTCTCATCTCTTCGAAGTACGTGCTGATGATGTCCAGAAGATTAATGAAAGCTTTACTATTAGACTGTTCAGATCAGGGACCACAAAACCTCCAATATTATTGAGTTGCAACAATAAATTTTAGAATTGAATCACACTGTTTTCCTTATGTTATTTTATTTCTTAGGGAGGAGTGAAGTCACATGAAATGAACGTGGAGAATACCGAAAATAATGTACAGATGTTAAGTCTTCTTAGTCGGATATTCACTTTCTGTATTCGGGAATTTACAAAAGAGATTCTAACTCCCGACATTAATTCACAAGCAGTAGTTACTTTTATGGATTGGCTCTCATGGACAATCAAGTATGGTTTATCTGGGCAGACGTTTTTTAGTGATTCTTTTATTGTCGTTTAATAATTTATATGCTTCTGTTGATTCACTATTAGTTTATTTTGGTTGGTTTATGTGCTTTTTAGATATCAAGACCGTAAGTATTACTGATACCTTTAGAAAGCTTGAGCATCAGATCTGTTCATTTCAATGTAAGGAACTCTTAATATGATCAAAGGTTTTAAAAAAATTATCTCGATTTTTCCGAGTATTTCATCCTTCACTATTATTGTAGTAAACAGAACACAGGTTGGGACAATCGAATGTATTTAACACACAATTACAGGATTTGTTAATAAAATCTAATAATCATAAAGTAAATGCTTAATTTGCAAAATGTCCATCGATTGTCTCAAAATGACTCAGACTTCATTGTTCTTACATTTTCATACAAATTGCATTTTTTTTTTTCAATTCTTTACTGTTCGATCCTCTTTTCTCTGCTGTCAGACCTTCTGTTCACGACTAACATCATCTACTTATGTCAATATAAGTAGCACACAACAATTTACGATTTCTGTATAACATATTAAGACGTTTTCACAGTAGTTTATGTGGTCTGAAAACGTTTGTAGCATTCATGAAGTCTATGATCATGACTTAATTTAACTCATTCACAGTTTAAAATTCATGTTGAGACACTCGTGATTGCGAACGTTAGGTGATACAACGCGAAATCCGTTACATTGGAGCAGTTTCATTCATTCTCTGTTTTTCTCTAAATATTGTGGTCGAAATCATTCCTAACCAAGCATCCCTCCACTTACTTTACTTTCTCACACTAAGTCTCTGTTATAGTTAATTTTATTTTCTCTTCTTTATTGTGTATTTTGTTTGTTTCCTCTTTCACTGTACTGACGTGAGGTGTAGCGACTTGTACCGACACACATTTATACCACATCCTGCGATGATGATGACTATTCTTCGTTTTTAATGAAGTTTGTTTTAGATTCGCTATTTGTTTTTTAGTTGATTGAGCTTTCACTTTCCAATATGATGGCTATCCAACTTTATCAAAAAATATATTCTCCAGATTGTAGGTAGATTACTAATCAATCATAAATACTACTGTATGATAATATTCGTTCAAGTGTTTTTCCATCTGTTTACTCAATAAACGCCGTTTTTGTCTTATAGAACTTACATTCTGAATTAAATTCACTTTTTCCATTCCTGAGTACTTCATTTTAATGAGGTGACATTCATATCTCATTACCTCATGTGTGAATGAAGAGGACTGTAAAATGACTAACCAACTTATAATATTTTTAAATTTCCCCAAGTCTTAGATTCATTTTTGGCTTGGTGGTTTTCATCAGTGACTTATATCTCGTATTATTTGGAATGCTTTATCTAGATGTGCATACAGCTTTACGAGTACTGTTTCCAGTTCAACCTCGTAGGTTTACAACTAAATTAACTGTACAAAAGGTGATGCCTATAACTCATTAACTAAGTAGATGACTTTTTGATTTTTAAATCAATATATATTGAATTTGATCCTCAATAGAAAACTAACCCCGGACTATGATTCAAGTACATCGAAATGGTAACTTCCAATTAGGTACTCCTTACGAGAAGCTTTTATATCAACAAAGATTGGCCACTTAACTCTAGTGGGTGGACAATCAAAAGTCACAGAACCTTGTAACAATCTCGGTTTACTCTATTCGATTTGTAACTTGTGTCATAGGGGATACAGTTCAATTTATGATAACGTTCTGTAGTATAAAGATGCCTCAATAAGACGCAGATCTTAATTGTGAGTGACCAACTTCTTATAATTGCAAACACATAATAACTGCAACTTAGAACTATCATCCACTGGCGTTAGTAACTAATAATATAATAACAATATAACATAATCTTCATTAGTTTTTTTAGAACAATTCTTCAAGAAATGGCTTCATTAAGATGAAACTAATTAAAAATTTGCAAAAAGACGTTCTAGACTTACTCTTTTGTTAACGGTTTGTGGCATTCAACTATGTTTCAATTAAGCTCGTTCACGACACATGGTCACCGTAGTATTCTCTAACTTTTCCAGTTATCTAATGTTAGATATATTTGAACCGTCAGATTTACGATTCTCGTTTTTTGATCAGTAAAATGGAAATGTTATTTTTTCTGAGTTCAGAATTGACTAAACAAATTTCATTGGGTATTTTTAAATTAAGGAGCAAGTTTCTTGCAGAATTATATTACGTTTCACTGGTGGGAAAAAGGATCTATGATTTATACTTTAGTTTTTTCAAATTTCATATTTTAAACCTCCCAAATTAAGTATACTACTCTTTGGTTAATATTTGTTTGCAATTGTCAGAATTCGATGATAATACCAGTTATGACAATCAAGATGTAATATAACCGATGCAATTGTAAAAATGTGTATCAAATGTAAACATTTCAGTAAACCAGCTCAAGCTGATCAACCATAATCCTCATACAAGATGCACATGCAGTTTTTAAGGCTTCACTTTTAATCTCACAAAACAAATCACATGATTTCATACACCTAAATCTGTATACAGAAAATCAAATATCCCTTATCTAAATGTATTCTGAAATAAAATAGTTTTGACAGTGGAAAACAAATAATTGTTCATCGTCGTTTTAATATCTGTGCTTCTGTTTTATATTTTATATTTGCTTCATGTAAGATATTTCATTTTCTTAGAAAATATAGTGTATGAAGTAGTTGTAATATACTTTGCTGAATATTTTATCAAGTGGTTGAAATAACATATATATATATATATTATTTCAACCACTTGTTTGGAAAACCGATTTGTGATGTTCCTCCAAAATCTCATGCTTACAGTGAAGAAAAACTAAACGTAAACTGTCTTCATATAAAAACACTGGTTACTTCTGCCAAACGTGAGATTTTCTGAATGTAGTCATTACTGGGTGTAGTTTTCACCAACATCTGACCGAGTTATTTAGCCAACATTTGCTCCCCCCTTTTGTTGTTCTATGTGTGTATATTGATGTGGAAATAACAGTTTTTGTTCTAATTTACGTTAAATACTTCAGAAATGCGAGTTACTGCTCAACAATTTAAACATTCAATCTTTAGTCTCTCAGTTATTTCCTTTCTATCAAGGTCCCAGCAACTAAATACTGTTATTAGCCTCATATCATTATCGTATATAAATCCATCAACTGTACAGACGTTAGTTAAGATTTATATGTAGCAAAATATTTTCCATCCATTTTTATGGTGAGTAACTATTCAATTTTCAAGGTGGCGATGATTACTCATTTTTCTTTTTCTTTATGATATTTTAGTGTATCCTATGCCGGTGGATTATATCCATTAGGTTCGAAATTTCCTGTCAGAATTGGAGAAGAAATAAATAATCCATTTTTCCTTTCTATTGATATTATTCTATCTCACATGATAACTTTACATCCACCATATGAAAGTCAAGAAGATTGTTCTATTTTTGTCCAAGCCATATCTCATTCAGGTACGATGATTGATTTTAAGACACTAAACAGTAAACTGCTCTTCGTGATTGTGAAATGGTGGGGTTTTGTTTGGCCAAATTATTTTTCATTCAAGCACCTCTTTAAACTCATGAATTTTGTTACTGAACAGTTTAAAATTTCTGGTTGATTTCATACATATAACTTGTTATGGAGTGGTTGATTTCTTTACTCTGATTTTATATCCTGTTTTATTTTCTAGCTCACTTTATACACATACTTCAACCATTTTACATCTTTCGGTTTATTGATTGTAAAATTACTGTGAGACCATTGGTGTTGTTTGATTATTTTGACTATAATACACAGGTTTCAACAAATCTTACTACATAATAAACAATATTTATTATAGGATCCCTATTTTTGTAAATATTGTTGTAGATTTTGATGCACCAGTGATTTGCCGAATTTATGGTAAAATTTTAAGCAATATTTCTCGACATCCTAGTAAGTTCACTACACTTTTGTTTGTTTTTATCTGAATAAATGAGTTATCTTTTATAAAAGTAGTTTATCTGTAATTCCATCATGTTTGAAATGTTAAAATATGAACATCTGTATCTTTCTGATATAATTGTATTGCTGTGACTCATTGTTTGAAACATTTGACTTCATATCTGAATGTGTTCCTGTCAAAATCGTTTTTGTTCAGTTCATGTCTTTAATCCTTAGACAGTTAATCTCCCTTGTAAACAAATACATAAAGCTGCACTTGTATTATTATTGAAAACTAAAGACACATATAACCACCTGGAATACTTCACAGTTCAAGAAGTCAAAGAGAAGTGGAAAGATATTATAATAAACAGGTAGAAGGAAATAATATCTAGTAAACAAAATATTTAAATTTCAAAAGATGATGGATTACGAATATATCTAATGTTGTTGTGTCAAATATCAAGAAGGGACATTTAGAGGGCTTTATTTACTGATTCTTGACATTTTAAGAACTCACAGTATACTTCCACCTTCCTTCAGTTCTCAAGCTGTAATGTATTAGTTTTATCTATTCATTCTTTGTTTTCATGTGACCAATATAATCCTTCCATCCTATTTCTGCAGTTTACCACCGTTAAGTTGGTTTGAAATGCCTTTATAATCGCACATACTATGAAAACTCACAGTTGATTAGTGCACAGAAGAATTGAATGATGTTTAGTAATTTCACCGGTGGTGTATATTCCCCATTATTAGTTCGAAAATTTTGTTGTGACAAATTCCGGCCATTGATTAAGAGAAGAACTACTAAAATTCCTTTAATGCCAATAATCCGTTGTGAACTTTGAAAATCAGACGAAGTGTAGTACGATATTCAAAGTTTATGGGAAAGATAATGAGTTGATTAGTTTTAACTATTGTGGTCAACTTCAAACTATATCATGAATAATCTCTAACTAATGACTTTGAGTTAATTGCTCACAAGATTTTCCAGGAGATCAATGATTATTTTCTAATATAAATTATTATTGAAAAATTGTCTTTAATTTATGTATAGACCAAGATGAATTTTATTTGTGTACATAGGTTTTTATTCTCGTTGGATGAACGATACTTTCAATATTTATAAAGAATTATTTGAGGCATGTGGAAAAATCGATTTATCTGATAAAAATGATGGTGAGTATAGTAGTATGTATTAGATTCCATTCAATTATTTCCGTTCTGTTATCTACCACAAAGTCTTATTATTTGTAGTTTTCTCCACAAATGTATCGTCAACAAAAGCACCACATATAGTTTTGTTTATTGTTGTCTTGTTACCTGTATTCTTACGCAGTGACTACCTATTTAGTCAATATAATATGGCCATAATCAGATGTTAACCGATAACAATACAGCTATTTAAAGACCTGAATAGTATTACGTAATACTGAAATAGTTTTTGTAAACTTCAGTAAAATCATCTGTGTTTTACCTATTATTCTACATTCGTTCATTGAGCGAATCCTCAATCGTCGAGTTACAGTTTTTTTAAAATTACAGTAGACTTCATAAAACACTTATTACCATTTCTTAAGAAAGTACTAAGAACAATAATAACCGGAAAAAGAAATTATTAGAATAATGACTACATATTTTATTTTTATAAACTAACTGGTCAACCAGTAGATAGTAATGAAATGTATTATGGTCTCAAAACTCTTTTGCCCTTCTCATTCTTTGGTAATGATTTTTATATTTACAAGTGAGGTTTCAACTAACAAGAGTAGTCTAGCCCTACGTATTTCAGTTGATTAGTTCAAGAAGGTATGACAGTTTTTTTCTTTTCGCTAAAACCAACTATCACTACTCAGTGCTTTCATCATTTGCTATTGGTTACAACCTATTTATGATTTATATTTCCTTAAAGTCATTGAACTGAGAATCAACTTCCACATACAAGTCGAGAACGTGTTAAATCTTCTTGAAACCAGGGATTACATATCGAATTTTCATCGATTAAGTATGCTACCACAGATAAAGTAACTTGCTTGCTGAATGAATTAGTCTACTGTTCTAAAATCGCTGTATGAGAATTTATATCATGAAGTAATGTAGTTCAGTGAAATTTATGTAAATTAGAGAACTACAGAACTTTTGTTAAAGATATCTGTTCTTTGTTTTATATGTCGAGGAGCGAAAGTTACTTTTAAACAAAGAAAAATAGACGCCATTAATGAACACCGCTTATTGTAGTGAACACTAAATAAATCCATATAGGTTCCCACATTTCCATTAGACTATATTTATATAAGTTTGACAAGATTTGTATACTTGAGTAGCTATTTTTCTTGTATAGAGTTCCAACATTCTTCCGTCAAAGACATTAAATTTTACTTGTGCGTCGTGGATCACAACTTACTTTAATTATCTAAATCTAAGAATTTGATCGAAAGATGAAATTTAACTAGATCCTCATTTACGTGAGCAAATTAGACAAATTATTTTCATTTGAAGATGGCTTTTGACACAGTTTGACATCTTGAGAATTTTCGGAAACCAAACGTCATCGGGCAGTTGGTTTGCTTTCATTTGAAACTCCTTAACAATGGGCTTATGGCTCCTCCAGTTGTCAAACTTGGGTCTTATTTCACGAATTTAAGTCTCACCGTGAATTAAAATTAACAGTGTTATATCCGGATGGCAATCATTGAATGGTAACCATTACTTATGGACTAATATACGAATATTCTTATTGTATGACTATTAAGTAACTACATTATATTGATATTGATGTTCTGAATTAAACCGACTGGTTTAGGAAATAAGCTACTATTTCAGAGGACAAGCATAAACTCGGGGCTGCTTGTACAGGTTTATGCATCATTAGTCTGGTCGTATAAGTCGGTGTCTCAAATTGGCGGTCGTATCACGTGATATAATTAATCGGGCATAAGGACATAACAAACAGCAATCGGGAATTTTTGTGTGGTAATTACACTTATCTGTGATATTTTATTTGCCTTAAGTACTATTTATGAAACTTCTTAATACTGTTAAAATGTGCACTTTATAAATCTATATTATGTACTTGCATTGAAATAATTCTGTTTTCTTTTATATTTAGAGACTACTGATGAGAAATATCCATGTTCTGGAGAGTTTTACACAACTCTTTTACAACAGATTTGTGCTTCAGTTTGTGGTTTATCTATGGTTTGTTTTCCTTATCTGGTGAGTTGGATAACTTGTACCGGATATCGGTTGTTTGTTTGTGTTTCTTCAACCAAACAAATTTATATCCCATTCTTAACATTCTATTTTAAATAGAAATGAGACATTTAAATAATTAAAATTAAATGAAAGTTTTATCCTCTCTGATATCGTGTATCAATGCAATGACAATACATCACCTATTATTTTTGTGCGCTAAGAAATATGATTTAATTTACTTACATGCTTGTAGTGCTGAAAAATAAAATTTGTTTTACAGTCAATCCTTTTTTAACGTTACAAACAACTAGAAACAAGTTGAATCACATTTCTCCAGGCTTTTTAAGTTATAACAGAATCATACATCGATCAAGAAGTCAGTAATAAAAAATTGAAACATTTCAAATGTTTAATTCTCTATAAGGGATGCCTAGTAGAACTGACTTATTTTTATTATGGTAAGTTTTAGAGACATTTGTCAGAATATTATGATTATTTTCTCAACTGTCTTTATCTTTAAAGAAACTATCAACAAGCTATTCATTAAATAGTCTGGAGGAACTGTAATATGTCTGAACACTAAGCCAATAATTCTCGACCTTAACTTCAGTAACAATAACCGAGACTAATTCCTATTCTCTTCTTCCCTATCCACTAACCAGAGATAGAATTCCAACCTTTGTCCAGAAGATTTATTCCATTAACAAAATGGAAGATTATTCTGGTGTATAGATACGTTTATAATACATTTGTGGGATATAATGGTAAAATAGCGTATTAACACAGCCAAATCAATAGGATAACAATGTCTCTCAAAACAGAAAAAACAGCAGCATGAGAAATGCGGGCGCGAAAAACACTCGACGAAGATTTACTGGACGCACATTGCAAAACGTTTAGGTTTCACGCGTTATATTATCGATCCAGCATCCCGACAAACTAATACATTTATTTAATAGCTTTTTATAAGTTCCAGTTGGTAGCGAAGATTTGTAGCTGAGGTGGGTGATTTTGACAGAGTTGAGTTCTCTGAGCACAGGGAACACAACGCCAATAAAATTTCAAGCTCTTTCTTTCTGAACTGACGGAAACGTGTTGTGATTGCCCTGTGTCATATCCTTTAGTCATTTTTTGTCTTCTGTTTATTGTTTATGACATACTATACTGAACGACAATTCAGATGGGAAAAACGAATTTATTGTTTAATGTAAAATCACAGTGGCTTAGTAAAATATGAAAATCATACATTAAATACATCATTTGCTCAGCTTCTTTGAGTTGTCCTTCACATACACCACTACTCCCCTATTTCTGTTATTTTGATTGCTCTCCGATTTCCTTCCTGTTCTCTTCATTCCAATCTTTTGCTGTCAGGCATTGGTGCTACGCATTACTTATAATTTTCAACATAAATAACATACACCACAATAACACATGTGAAAATTTCAATTTTCCAGATTATTCTTAGGAGGATTTTCAAGAGGCCCATTCAGAAACAATCGTTTTTCGTGTCAGCATAGAGCACTAAAGTTTCACTGAAATAATGTAGTGTTATCTCGATTTGTACTATAACCATATGGTCGGGAGTGTTACTAATGACATACAATACACTTTTGCACATTGAAAACGTTGCCGATAACCTCAGCATTGATTTACGTTAATTCTAAAAAATCACTTATTTTACTATCACTATATATGCATATATGCATCGGTTCAAGTTGCCATACCTAATTAGCACAACAAGATGAACATCAAATTCATAGAAGCAGTTACTTCAGTGGTAGTAATATATAAAAGAAAGATTATGTATAAGGATATAATACAGGAAGAAAGAATTAGTTTGTAGAAAGAAAGGTATAAGGTAACTTGATTATCACGGTTTAAGGGAATACAAAGAGTGTATACACCTACGCCATTGTGATCGAATCTGAGCCATGTCATCTCGAGTCTCCAACCATTGGTTACGATAGTCGCACGAACCCCAACCAAGTAGTTTGCATCTACCAACATGGTTCAGACCAGAAGTTAGTGCCTTCAAGGACTGATGCGACGTTTTGGCTTGGCCAACCCTAGTTTTCTTCCAACCGTCTCGAACACTAGTGAGCATGCGCGTTGTGGTAGTCGGTGATTTGGCATGTGTAATACATGGCCCAACCATCTCAGTCGATGAAGATTCATGACTTCATCAACTGACTTACCACCATTCCCTAATAGTGTGCGTCTAACCCCACTATAACTTACCCGGTGATCCCAGTAGATGCTGGCAATATTTCTAAGACATCTGTGATCAACTATTAGTAATTTACGAGTATCCTTTATTCTTAATGGCCACGTTTCACAGCCGTAAAGTAGAACAGAACGAACTGCTGTTCAGTATACTTGACCCTTAATTGATGGACTTATATCTCACCCTCTCCATAGGTGACGTAATTTGGCAGAAGCCAGATAGTTTTCAAGCGTTTATTCCATAAATCCAATTTTTATACTTTAGATTAATTGCCTATCATAGTCTATCATTGTGACACTAGTAATTATTAAATTTCGAGACGTTTAATATTTACACTGTGTAGACAAATGCGTAAGATGTTTTATTTCAACAGTGTTTGCTTTTGGCCTTGCTGTCATTTTCAATAAACGGAATAATTTTTACGAATTTGGAATTTAAAGAAAATACTTTTTTCGTTAATATTTATCTAGGAGACAGTTCTGCTTTCGTCAGTGCTATCTGAACATCCTCTGGTTCACTTGTTAGCAATGGATGTATGGTGCTTCGTTGCCCGGTAACTTCATGTACTTTTTCTTTGTCCTTTATGTCATCGGTTTTTATGCAATAGATGCTAGATAGCGAATAATTTCATCAGTGTATTGAAAATGTATTGAAAAACGAGTACCCTAATTAATTAGGATAGTCGATTGCTCAAGTGGTTGTTTTTAGGCACTGTCTCCGGACCTTCGATTCAGATAATGAATTTATGAATCAGTGGAATAATATTGTTGGTTACGATCATACATTATAGCCGGCTGTCGGTATGTACCAGGTTTTGGAGCTTATATGAACTAGTTGCTTATGCTGTAGACCCTTATATGGTCATCTATGAATGCATATTCAAATTTATGAAATTTCAGTGACATTGGTTGTAATTTCGTATTCAAAAAATTGTCTTGTGAATTCGATTGTAATTTTTTAGGTACGGAACAGGCGATCTCTGTTTGCATTATGTCACACTGTTGACGAACGTTGTAAATAAAGTTGCAAGGAAATTACAAATGAAGAATTGCATGAATGAATCCCAATCACTTAGTTTGTCGCATACTGTATCTCGCCTTAGTCATCTACTTTCAAGGTTGATTGTTTTTCTTACACCTAAACAACAAGTGAGTCCTTTGAAACTACTAACCACTTGTTTCCTAACAAATTTGCAATGTTATCTACTCATTCCATAAGGTTCGAACATTCTCTAATTGCTAAAAATTTGTATACAACTCAGTCAGTTCCTTAATCAGAAGGTCGCCATCATCTTTAAAAAAGGGCCGGAGGTAAGTCATCTGGACCTGGTGATTTGGAGCACTTCAGAAGTTGGAGTGTTTTGCGGATTTCCGTCTCTTTGGTTGGATCAGTTGTCACCGGCCATGGAGGGCAGGACAGTCTGATCGATGTCGCCGGGGCAGCAGGTTAGCTAAATTATCCTTCGAAAAACTCCATCCATCGTCCAATACGTCGGCATATGTTATTTATAGGCTCCCATCAGCTTCGTAAACTGTTGCACTCACACTAGACTCCTTGCTTCCAGTGACTTGGACGAGTTGGAAGAGCTCTCGGCAGTTGCTGTTTCCAACTCGTCAGCGCGCTCCGATCACCAAAACTCTCGGTCCTTACTCAAGCTTTGCCCAACTTCATTACGTAACGGTTGTCGTTTGTGGTCAAAATGACGATCTCCCGGAGTAGATCTACGTGCTTCAATGATTTGTAAGGAGCCAGAAGAAACCCAGTGCTTTTAAGCGGGACGTTTCGCGAGGCCGCAGGCAAGATGACTCGCCATTTTCATGGCGTCGTGCAATTGCAACCAATGCTCATCTATACTTTTGGGTGGAATGTTAGCTAGCCTTGAACCTAGCCCGGTTTGATATTTAATTGCAACAGGAGCTGTAACCAATTCACTGACATCAATCCGTTTGGGACAACGAATTTGTTAACCACAGAAACATAAGGTAAGATTAGCGCAAACAAAGGAATGATTGGAGTTCAGATACGTACTCCAAAAGGAGTGTCAGTCTTCTACACAACCACGCCAGCGGTAGCTGATCGGGATGTGATCAATCTGAGTCCAGGCTTGAGATACAGAGGAAGGACGCCAGGTGGCACATCGGCGACGACCATGTCGATAATTAGTGCCAACCGAAAACAGGTTGGGAGATGTAGTCTCATGGTATCTGGCGACCAACAATAGGTTCATATGATATTCGTTCCTTCAAGATCCTGGAGCCTATCTATGTACACCATTGGTTTGGAACCAGGGTTTTCCGACTGTCGTATGTGGATCCTCTATATCCACCCACTCGGTTAAAGCACAGGCCATTCGCTTTTCGTCTTCACAGTTTCGTAGACAACACCCCTGTAGCTAGAAGGCAGTGAGTAGAACTTCCTTGACAGTGGTTGTATATGCATGGCCATGTGAGAGTACTTCGAGAAGGGGAATGAACTCTTCCTATCCTCGACCGTACCAGGTCATTTGGGGGCACTATAAACTCAAATGCATTTAAAATAACAAGTGAATAGCCTTCAACTATGATGCTTCCGGTTAAGAAATTTGACAAATATAGAAAATTCAAGATTATTCTTAAAGTCAATTAGAACTATCAGACACTTAAAGTGTTATAACTTGTGACCGCCGATTAGAGGGCAATGACTTATCGATCGAACCAATGACGCGTAAAACACGTGCGAGCAGCCTAGAGTTTTGATTGGTTTTGTTTTCCGCCTAGCCTAGCCAGTTAAGTCCAGAACACCAATCCGAGCCTCTGGGATTTGAATCATTATATTTCAAACATACTGAGTTTATATACCAATCAAACAGACCACAACGTACCAATAAAATATGAAATAACATTTGTACAAGAATTAACCAAATATGGCTGTGAATGAGGGAGATAGTAATGAATGTACTGGGTGTAACTCAAGAATGGTAAAACGTATGATAATAGTTTATGGGTCAAAATAAAGCTTATAATAAGATGAATATGAATATGCATAGTTTAGTTACTTAATAATCATACAATAGAAATATACATTTAGTATTGGTCCATAAATGGATCCCAAAAGTTACCATTTATTATTCTTGTCGGGACATAACATAAAGCATGCGGCAAAAGTAGTTCAACAGCTCTTCACAGTTGAAATGAAAAGAATCAAATTATCAATAACCAGACATTTTGATTGCTTACGTAATCCACGCGAGGTTAAGACATGATCAAACATAGAGCATTACAGATGCGATAAGAAATATAGGGGTTTAGTGTAGGATCAATCCTTCATAATATGAGATGATCATATTATAAAATGGGGAGTTGAAAGGTACAACATGTACTTGCAAAATATAGGTTAGTTAGTATGCGAACGGAGTATATTTGAGCGTAGTAATATTTTACAAATTAGTTCTCTTTACGAATATCTCATAGATTTGAGAATACATCCCACTTTTTTATTGAGCAAATTAATTCCATAATAATGCTTATTCGAATAAGTGAAATTATCAAACATGAAGACCATCTTGGAGTATCTTGGATTATTTTTACTGTATTGTTATAATAATGTAAATTAACCACTATGTGTTGTGCTTAAATTCCAGGTTTTATTCCGACGTTAGAAAATACAGTGTGAAAAATTTACTTTACGACTTTCTAGGTGTAACTGTTTAAAATAGTTCAGTATTATGTAATACGAGATAATATCTATCCAAGATGAACTATAAATTTAACATGTGCACTAGTCTTAGTCATATATCACTGCGTGACAGTTCAATTTTGGTAGGATAATCGAAATGATAGTAGGGCGATTGAAGTTTTATCATATGGAAAATCAGTTAACAACATTGTAACACTTACCGCACAAGTTTATTTCATTGTTTACTGTCTATATCAAAGATTAACATTCTTCATTCTATTATGTTTGAAGGAATGAAGCAAGATAAAAAGGGTCCTCAGCGGTACTGTTCCTAAATGTAGTCTTACTGCAAATTATTATGACTGTGTATAGAAAGTAGATAGTATTCAAGATAATACTCCTCCTTTGTGAATTCCTAAATTTCAATTTTAGGTTAATCGTGATTCCACAGTTCTATTCATTCTCTCCGTCTCCGTAAACTACTTGTCTAATTTTAATAACTAAAGCAAACTATTTTTATTCTTATTTTAGAAAGTTTATCTTCATCAAAATTCAATTCAATTTATCCATATGAATTCAAACATAGATTTGATTAGTTCAACATCTGGTTCATTAATTTGGTATTACGTTCCTATTCCAATAAGTCGTTTACAAAAGGTATCAACTAATATCATTGAACAACAAGTAAATGAACGACTTCTAAATTTAGACAAGTTATTTGATTTAACTAGTATGACAGTCAATTCATCTCAGATTCCTTATTTATTAATAGAAGTAGTAAGTATTATTAATTATTATTTTGCTAAGATTATTAGTTTCAATGTATGTTATGTATGTTGAATGCTACTATATTTTCTTCTTGATAAATTGTTATGGTATGATTTCATGGCAATCAAATTATTTACCATTTCTAGTACAGTTCACTGATAATTTTTTGAAATAATTGTTGGTATTAACAAATTTTTTGGTGCAAGATGTCATCTTATTTGGTCATTCTGTTAAACGATCATCGTTTACAGTTGTTCGATCGCTGAGTAGTGACTACTGTTATATTCATCTAGTCTTTAAGTACTAGTCGGATTCTATCGATCAAGTGGCATTGTGACCACTGGCCTGACTAAATCGATATAGTGTGTACACTATTTTGAAATGTTAGATAATCGGAGATAATCAGGAGGAGAAACCCTAGACCTAAGTTTCGTGCTAGCTGGGACTCCTTCCCTCATTGTGCCTCTAATATTGATCAGCACTAAGAAACTTAACAAAGATGACATTGGCCACTACCCAGTGACAGTCAGTTGTAAAGATTTCAGTTCTACAGAGGGTTAGTCGCAGCCTAAATAGCCGAGTGATAACGTCTCAGACTGCAAAGCTAGCTGACACATATTGAAATCTCACAGAGAGTACCAATTTCCTCAATAGTGTAGGTAGTAATTGTTGACGAGTGATATTTATTACAAAGCCAAAGTCCAGGGAACTACCTAAAATAATCTAACACTTGTCTTTCATCCACCATTACAATTAAACCATTATCCGCGCATGTAACTGGTGATTCGTTGAGTATGATTTGGTCCACTGTGAAAAGAAGTTAAAAAGTAATAAGCGATTATAACTTCTCAAAGGATAACTGAAAAGCATTATGCAAATTTATAGAATTGACTCTTAAACTTCTTTTGTGATACCATAGTCAGTGGAGTCCAACTTTGTAATTGAGTGAGCTAAATATCACCACTGACTTTAAATGAGTTGATTGAAGACCTCTGGATCTCAGCCACATAGTCTGAAGGTTCTATATCCTATGTGTTGTGTTGTTGGTTTGTGAGAGCTCACTGTTGAAGAGTCAGAAATCACCACTTCACGGTGTTAATGGGTAATAAAATCTAACCTCAAATAATAATCGTGGTTTTACATACTTTTCTTTGACATATCTCCATAATTTTTACTTCCACATCTGATCTCTATTGATTTCTTTTCTATCACTGTTTTTTTGTTTAGTGTCTTGCTCTGCGTTTATTTAATTGTTTATCTGAGCGACATAAAAATTCTTGCATACGAATCATTGTGAAATGTATCCACTTTCTGCTTCAATATCATCTGACCGATGCAGCAATAGAGAATTGTTCACATCCACACTCTTCTACGTTTTTAAAATCCTGGACATTACAACCGATTTCAGCTTTGTTAGTTTGTTTATCTATTTGGTTTCCGAAATTATGCACTATTTCTCTCAATGATCCAAATCTTCGACCGGATACGGAGATATTAAAAGTAAATCTTTGATTGGATGTACTACTTAATTCTGTATATCATTTTCGGTGTTAACATTTTATTATTGTTTAGTCAGTAAATTGATCTGATTTCTTAATCACACTTCTGTTTTATTTATTTGTTACAACTTTAGGATCTTGTGAAATTATCATTTTATTCGGATTCAACCTCTTCTGTCCTACCAATCTGTTCGTTTTCGATATTTAATGCATGGAATTCATGGCTTAATTGTTCTATTACACAAGGTTATCTCCAAACATGGGTAAGTTTAGTTGACAATGTTGTAAGCATGTTACTAGTTTAAAATTCGATTTAGACTAATTCTTAACATCAGTTTGTCATCTATTCTCGGTTATGTGTTTTAGATTATGAAGCTAGTTAGTTTTGCCTCATTGCACACTCTATAAAAAAGCGCTTCAGAACTCTTTTATCAAATGTTTCAAGTGTCCATTCATATTGGTCGCTGTATCGCCTTGGTGTTGAGATTAATAAAAGAACTATCAATCGACTACTTAACTTTTATGGGATAACTAAACTTCTTTCCATTCATAACCATAGTGGTTATTCTAATCATGAAAGTGTAGAACTACTCCTGTTAATTGTCTCGTGTGAATACTTTGTAGAAGTCTCAGACTGACAAGAAACAACTCTCTAGTGCTCTATGTTTCCCAGTAATTCTGTAATGAAAAGCCTTTTCAAATAATATTAGTAATATTTATGAGGGTGAGTGTTTTCGCGTTGTTAGTGTTAACGACTCCAATTGATCCGGTTCTATTAACATCAACAACGTGAAAACATAAACTCTTATAAACAAAATTCGTATCTGTTGTACAATCTATCAGCCATCTAAATCCACTAACCAAGCAAATATTGCGTTGATTTTTCGAAACTAAAGGTGTACTGAGTTAGAGTCCCATTACGAACATTAACACTGAGATGCAAGTACCTTTTTTCTGGCTAGTCCTTAGCAGAAACAAACGTGCTCTCGCACTACATTGTTAGACATTATTCAACTTTAAAATAGTAATAATAGTGATAGCATATTATACATTACGAAAATATTATTAACATTTTGACTTGTGTTTTTTATTTTATTTTGGGAAACAGTTTGAACAACTAAAGGTTAATATTAATCATTTTGAGTCGAAAGTTCAAGTTGATCAGATTGCAGAAGATATTTTCAAATCCTTGCGAAAGGTAATGCTTTTCTGTCTTTTCTATTTAATTATATCTGCTTATTTATTTAATTGAGTTGGGATTCTCATCTCTATCAACTGGTAGTCAGTCAGTCATCTACAATGTAGGATCAGGCATATATTGTTGGGGACGATAGATCCCCAAAAACTCATAGTTTTTAATTTTATCTTTGTGGAGCTTGTATGCAGGTGTATGTGTGGGCATTCCTTACCACCCACGCACATAGTCGACTGATGAACTTATCGATCAAATGTTTAAAAGCGCCAGGGCAATATCCAACCATCCAACCATTGGTTACGGTAGTCGCGTGAACCCCAACCAAGTAGTTTGCATCTACCAACATGCTTCAGACCAGAAGTTAGTGCTTTCAAGGACTGATGCGACGTTTTGGCTTGGCCATCCCTAGTTTTCTTCCAACCATCTCGAACACTAGTGAGCATGCGCGTTGTGGTAGTCGGTGATTTGGCATGTGTAATACATAGCCCAACCATCTCAGAAGATTCATGACTTCATCAACTGACTTACCACCATTCCCTAATAGTGTGCGTCTAACCCCACTATAACTTACCCGGTGATCCCAGTAGATGCTGGCAATATTTCCAAGACATCTGTGATCAACTACTAGTAATTTACGAGTATCCTTTATTCTTAATGGCCACGTTTCACAGCCGTAAAGTAGAACAGAACGAACTGCTGTTCAGTATATTTGGTCCTTAATTGATGGACGTATATCTCACCCTCTCCATAGGTGAAACAAGTTGACAAAAGCCAAACGAGGTTTTTGAATCTGTGTGGAGATTTCGTCAGAAATCAACCCATTAGGGATGATCAGATATCTAAGACGAGTGAAGTTGTCGACACGTTCGACTACTTCACTCCCTATCCTTATTTCAGGTGTTTACGCGGGCCAGTCCTGAAGCAACAGCTTTCATTTGGAGGGGGAGAAACGCTCAGTGCTACCGAAATACTGCGTCTTATCATCGTCTTCACTAAACAGGACTATATCATCTGCGTATTCTAAGTCGAGTAGTGGACCTCCTGGTAGGAGATCAATGCCCGAAAATTCAGTCGACGAGGACATTATATACAGCAGTATGTCTTTAATGAAGTTAAACAGAAATGGAGATAGTGGAAGCCTTGTCGGACGCCACTTGTGGTTGCAAAACCAGATGACTGTTCGTCATAAGCTCTGGCTCGACTAGTAATGTTCGAGTAAAGAGCCCTCACAAGGTTTATGTATTTCTCAGGTACTCCTTTCGAAGACAGACACTGTCACCAACTAGTTATTTCTTTTTAAATGGTATTGTTGTTATTCGTTATATGTGTTGATAAAAATTTAATCTATTAAGTTTAATTTAGATATTAGGTTAATTTGTAGATGAATTTTTCACAAAATGACTTCCTTTGTGACAGAATGATAGCAAACACACGAACCATTAATCATTATTCCAAAAATCCTATACTTCAATGAAACAGCTATGCCCTTCAGTTTTTAATGATACTCAATGTAATAACCTTTTGTGCAAATACTTGAATATTATCAGTGTTAGCAATGCAACATTGTTTTTCATTTGGGAGCAACTCATTTCCGACTCATCAACTGGATGTAGCACCATTCCTATAAGTAATGTTACCTATGAAATAAACCCAACACATTACTTCATTTAAAATCAGAAACATAAACTAAGTTTCACGAGGCGGGGTTCGAACATGTAACCTGTTACCTGAAAGTCACAGCTTAAATAAAATCTTGTTTGAAGTTTAAAAAAATGGTAGATAACTATATAGATGAAGTAAACTAGACAGAAGTAAGTCAGAATTCCATAAGTAACTTATTTGGTTATTCGTATGAAGTATTTTATTGCCTTTCTACTTCTAATGATATAATGTGAGAAAAAAACCCTAACTGAATAATTTCGAACTGTCAGAATAAGTCAACTGGTGAATTTATTTCTCGAAAAAGCTTAGTTCAACTTGTATCGAAACTATTTCAGTCTGTTAGGTTTATTTTTTCTTTTAGCAGAAATGTGCTAAAAGCCTAGTCCATAAAAAAGAAAACGCAGTTATACAACCGATACGACATTTTTGCATTACTTAAGGAATTGTTTTTTTCCTGTTTACAGAATGCCAAACTTTAGTTATTGTCATTGTCATTCACTTCGACCTGATTTTGTCTTTATATTTCTTATTTTACTTCATATAGAGAATTGATTCGATAAGTCTAACTAAACATACTGTCCACTCACCCCAATTGGATCGAATTTCTTCAAGTAGTTGTTTTAATGTTGACAATAATAATTATATAAATAATGATGGCGATGATGATGTTGTCATAACTAAGTGCCTACGTGATATGTCATCAGTAGTGAATCGTTTAAAATCTGTTTGGCCACCAAAAGGTCCTAACAAATCAGTACATTTCAACGAAGCAAGGAATATTTTAAACATCTTATCTAATTTCGTATATACCAGTTGATTGACTAAGTGACTGGCTATTTTTTTTACCCACATATATTTGTATTATTTCATTGTACAAAACCAATATCAAATAAATAAAACCTTTTAAATTTAGTTATGCTTTTATTTCTTTGTTTTTCACTGTACAAATCTAATGAGAAAATCTAATTTGTTGAGAAGGGATTTAATTGAAATTTTAAGTAGTTCGTTAAATGTCGATCATTTGTTGATTACGTGCTTGTGTACTCAAAGTTTGGGCCATAATTTATTGTACGTATATATGTGCAAGCGTTATTGACATTATCCGATTGGTTGAACCGAGTTAGATAAAACATGGTTCAAACCTTCATTTCATTTGTTGAACATTGAGTACTTGGGACACTAACTCATCGCTGCTGCGCAAATAATTTACTTTAATATGTTTTCCCAACTGTCTAAGATTAATGATAGTCAATGTAGTCTACAGTGTAACTTTATAAGTATGGTTATAGTTCATTCTTATGATCATTAAGTTGCTTGTTCAGACATTTCGAATACAAATTGCAGAAAGCTTAGGTTTTCAGTAGATCATTTGTGGATAATTCCTTTGACTTATTATTGGTGAGGCGGACCAGAATCTATAAGGGTAAAACAGTTTATTTCAGGCTAGAGATACTATATACTGATGGATATTCAAAGTGTTAAACCCGAAATCCTGACTTCCAACCGTTATCTTGACTTGGTAAGCTTACAAGAACCTGGTTTAACAATCTCAAGTCTGAGAAAAGATTAGTACTCAAAACGTTTTGACAATGTTTTTTTATAAACAAATACAAGTGAGCGTTCTTTCTGACAAATATTACTTAAAGCAAACAAAAACTGATCGATTTGTCTTTCCGACGAGAAGCAATCTATCATTTATTTATTGAACCAAACTCTTATCATTCATTTGTTATTTCTATTTAAATAATTATTGTTAAACATTTTCAGGATGCTTTAAAATTAGGCTAATTGACAACTTAGAAGATTTTTATATTTTGTTGAATGTATAAATTCACATCATAGTGAAATTCAACTTGGAAGGATCTTGTACAATTGTTTGAATTATAGTTCTTTGTTATAACATTAGATTATATTCCATACTATCATTAGTAAATGATGTTAAATTATATGTGATATTTTCCTTTTTTGAATGGACTTTCTCATTCACAAATAAAAAATAATTCATAATCATTTTATTATATTTGACGAAGTGAATAGATTGCATTCGTTAACTAATAGATACTATACAAAATTAGGAATATAATTTATCCTAAGGTGATTCGTTCAAATTTCAGAGAACATCCTCCCTACAATCTATGTAATATAAGTATCAATGATCAGCAGATTAATAAATATAATTGATTATTATATCTTTCCCTGATAGTTTCTAACTGGCTCAACTTACAGAGTTCCATCTAACCAACCTTTGTTTATTTTTCCATAGTTGGTCGGTGTTTACATACAAAACATAGAAGAATATACTATTTACTAAAATATATCTTTGCTAATTATTAGCAGGTAAGTAATATAATATCATAAAATGATATTTCCCCTTGTTTTCTGAAAAATCTATTTAGATATTATTCTTTGCATGCAATGCGTGCTGTGGTGCAACGAGTTAAACAAGCATCTGTTAGTGGTATGTTGTTAATTTCTTTTATGAGTAAAGATTTTGTATTATGTGCGATGTGATAATTTATCTTCTTTAGATTATCGTATTTTATTATTGTCTAAATTCTATATTATTATTGTATATTTAATTGATAATTTGCTTTGATATTCTGTAGAGATTTTATATATTTTGAAGTTAGTTTACGTTATGAATAGAAATCGTACTTGGTAGCACAGACATCCAAATCTGTAAAGAAAAAGGTACCCGATACTACTTTCTTTTCAATAATTTTCAGTCAGCGCTAGTTCGCAACGAAGGCTTTTACAAGGTCATCCAAATCTACACAAAACATTGAAGCAATTAATAATCCCCACCTTGTGGTCACTTCTTTACGGTTCTGAGATTGGTTTCTATCGAAGTTAACTAAATCAGAATTGACACTGATTCACTAATGAGACTGGGCGATTGGATGATCGTACAATGTCACAAATTGTGTGAGGTCAAAAATGTAAACCATTGGATGCTGGCTCATTGGTACAAAAGTTACACCCTAGGTGAGACCTGAAGGTCCTGGATTCGATTCCTTGTGGAATTGTGAGGAATCACTTACGTGGATGAAACAACTGTCCGGTACCCACTGGTTCTTAACGGTTGTCTAACTAACGCGATATTAATTATAAACTTGGAAAATCTCCACAAACCTCTTACTCTAATAAAGCAAAATTTAATAAGTTAGAAATACAAAATCAGTGTGTTCTAACCAGTTGTATTTCTGACTAAATAGAAAGTTAGTAATTCTTCAATTTCTTTATAATTTAGTAAATGATTCAATTATCAGTCAAATCGGTCGTGGAATACTTGTTCTTATTGGCTTATCACGACGAGATACAGATAATGATATGGAGTATATGTATGATAACATTTATTTTATGTATTCATTTTATTCTATGTATCCTCATCACTTTGTTGTTAATTGAATAAGACGTTTGAAACGTCTTGAGTAAATTGTGTCACTATGTTGCTGACAATAAGTCAACTCACAAACGAGTCAAAATTATTTTTAACAGTCAACCTACTGTTTTTTTCGTGCATTGAGTCAAAATATTTACTTATATGATTTAAGGATATTATTTTTCTAAAGTTAGTCACTGGATAAATGCATTTTCATGACAGATTTATTCACCTTAGATTTTCTACAACATATCTACACAGTTTGCCAATCAATCAATCGACCGCGTGTATTCATTCAGATAACTTAAAACACAGATTTGATTAGGGAAATGTCAAAGTTATGTTTTCAATGGACTCTAAACCTTCCAGAAGATTTCTAGAAGTATGGCATACTGGCGAATCTCCAATCAGTTGATATGTTATAGATTTGGCTTATCAATTCATACGGTAAAAATCAACCATTCAAGGGTATCAACTGAACAAAACTTTCCGAATGTACTAGGTTATGAGAAGATAAAAAACTTTACATAAATAATCGGTCACAGAAAAGTAATTCAGAACAGACTGACTGGTGCTTGTGGAATAGTTTGAAGGAAGCATTAATGACTGTCAAGAACGACATTGAAAGCTTTGGAATTCAACTATTTAACTCAGAGTACGCATTACCATGAAAAGTGTTTATTTAAGCTATGCATATTCATCATTTCAATAAAATCACACAAACTATCTACAAATAGCACTAAAATAGTCAACGTGGAAAGCGGGATAATTGTTTATCTACACAAGTTTTCATGCTTCTCCAAATGAATACATAGATATACGAACATCTGTTACATTGATAACATATTGTGATGAATTTAAATTTCAACCATTAGGTGTAAAATAATTAAATCCCCAAGAAATACGAATTCGTCCTCTCTCCTGCGCTCTTAACAAACCAAAAACGGAACGGCATCAAAACATCTGGCATACTGAGAAAGTTTATCTTATCTTTATTTCTCTATTTCTCTATATATAATCGATTTTTTAACGTTTAATAAACTGATAGGTATCTTTATATTACTTGTGAGGGTTTGAGTCTGCCCGTTCTTGACGTTAAAAACTGCAATTGGTCAGTCTCTTTCTCCAACTTTATTTAAAAACTCAAAATGTTTCGTGTTTCAGGCTAATTTTTAAAAATTTAATTCCACCCGTGGTTTCGTAACGAAATAGTTCATTATCTTTTTGCCTTGCCAATAACATTTAGTACATTCCTTTCTGGCTTTCAATATTTACAGGGTTAGAAAAATACTGAACATTCGTTTATTTCCATCTCTAGATGGTATAAGACGTTGGGATAAAAGTGTAAAAGATTTAAATCTGGAAATTCTTTGTGTTAGTCAGGTAAGGAATTTTGTTTTTCTAACTAATTCTCATATCATTTTCACATATTGATGCTCAGGTATTCAGCATAAGTTTTTAATAATTGTTTCAGTTTACTCTGATTTTTGAAATCCCTTACAGTTTCTTGGTTCAAATGATTGTGTTAGTGTGTTTTTATCACTAATGTCCACAATAAATTCTCTACAGAGGACTAAAATTTTTATTATTCAATGTTTCATGTTTAATTTCATCAACTTTTCTTTTTGTTTAAATCGTAGTGAGAGAAAATTAAACCTAGTATTCAGGTCTTAACTTCATTGACATTTGAGTGATCTTCAAATTCCGTGTCTTCCATTCTCTTGTGTCTCAATTAATTTCTAACTGCACCTATTTTTGAAGCTAGTATCGTGTATATATGGATATTATCATAGTAGAAAACCATCTTATATCTGTTCATTTTAATTTCGTAAGCTGCTACTTCTCTGCTACATCGTACTGTTGCACGTCAAATGAATGGCATTACATTCGTTCATCTAACAATTCAAAACCTGTTCATCATCATTTCATAAAATTTTAATCTATAAGAAACATTTTTCGAGACTTATTTACTTTACAGGACTGGATCCACGTTCATGGTCATTTCCTCATACTTCAGTCCGTATACTCAACCTACTTAAAAGGTTGATTAAGTAGTGTAAGCTTTTACGCTGAATTTCTGGTTCTAATACAATGGAATGTCAATATATATATATATATATATATATATATATATATATATATATATATATATATATATATATATATGGAATTTTTGAACTGATTTTTGGAAATCGCTTTCCTGATTTATCTTGGTACTGTTATGCTAAAGATGGTGTTTATATGATAGTAGGCACAAAAATTGGCACATGACTAGATAATTAGACAGATGTAGGTGTCATTACCAAGGTTTGACTTGATAATTTCGAATAAATTGAGCATCGGGTAGATTGTTATAAATAAATAATGTATTTGTAATATCCCAATGAGTAGAAAATTAGATTATCTGACGTTTTGTGACTTAGTGTGAGCCGCCTCTTCAGAGAATAAATAACCAAATCAAAATTAATCCAAGACAGATGTTTTGATACGATATCATCTTGCAAGAGTGAAATTTGTGAAGTAATATCGA